TCATTACACTGAAATTTTTTGAGTACCTCATATCTTTTTACACCATTAAAATAGACATAAATCTTATCTAGTATTCCTAGAACATTTCGAAGTTCTTTAATTGATTGGCATAATTGAACAACGATTAAATTTAATCGATGACAATAACACCAAATAAAAGCTGCCTTTGGCGCCTCTGCTCTAATCAAGGCTTGCACACCATTGATTCTTCCACTCATGTTTGAGGCTCCATCATAACTTTGCTCAACTAGATATTCAAGGAATATTTATTACCAGTAAAGAGATAATAAGTATTTCTTGTTCTACTTTATCAAATCTCTGCTCTGTGTCTTCCAATAAAAAATATAGTAGATAAAAAATATGAGTAACTAAATGACCTCAGGTTCACTAATTTCATGATCATTATCAGAATCATCAGATACTATATTTTCTTCTAACACATTTTCTTTATTATTAGGACACTTTTAAAAGATAATTATATTAATTAAAAATATTTATTATATCAACAGCTTTGAATTCCCAATTTTTACTTCTTTCTTCTTAAATTGCGATTTAATACCCATTATAATAAGATAGGTATAAACAATTAAATATTTAATAAAAAAATTACTTTGCTATTTGTCCAATTTTGAGTAACATTCTTAAAAGCTACTATTTCAAAGCTTTTCTTTATATCATTAATATTAAGCCCACCACGTCTTTTTCTAATGTGATCTATCCATTTATCATCTCTTATATTAAACGATTTGCATTTTATTAGGCATTTGTATTTTTTTTGGTTAATATTTTTAGGCATATTTTAAAATTGGAAAAATAATTTATGACAAGAAATCTCGGATAACAAATTTACTAAACATCGACCAAAATTTCCGTCAATATATTAAATTAAATATTAAGTGGGGGGGAGGATCTTATTATTACATTTATAAACCAGAAATCACATGATCATGATGGATGTAAAAAAAAAGTACCCCCACTCAAATTTACTGAAGCAGTTGCTTCGGACCCCCCCCCCGTTGTAGGGGCCCCTGGGTTAGATATATATATATATATATATATAATACGCACAAATATATACAATTCAAATAAATATTTACAAACTCAAACTGAAAAATTTATAAAATCATTTTTTCTACTTCAGGATGCTCCCCTTTTATAAATCTTTCGGGCTGTATTAGAAATATTAGGTCCTATGCAGATCACTAGTAGACATTGTGTCATATATAACACATAAGTTTCGCTATTTTATTTTAAAAAGTAATTAATTGTAAAAATATTTATAACTTTATTTAGTTAATTATTTATATTACATGAATATCAATTGGAAATTAATATTGTAATAAACATATTAATTTAATAATACATCATTAAATAATCTAATGAATTAAAATAAAATTTGACTTTCATTTTTCCTTCCATTGGAATAAATTAATAATATTTTTGTGTCCCGGAAATCGTTTGGCTGTTAAAAATCTATTTTCGAGATTGGTTTCCATTCTTAAATATTCAACATTGCTGACAAATATATAATTAATTCTCGCATAATTATATAAATCCATAGGAGTTAGTATATGATTTTCATAAGGACGTTGCAGGTTTGCTCTAGCCGTCAACTTCTTAGTAATTTCCCCTAAAATATCGCAAGGAGTTTTGCCAAAATATGCAAAAAAATGCCATTCTGCTTTGATATCAAAATCATTATAATGGTTGTAGAGGTATAATCATAATGGTTTATGGGTCTTGGATAGTGAAGGTTAGCGGTTCTTTCTTAGGCAGGGACCAGACTGGAACAATCTTTTAAGACCAAAGTCCGAACCGGTCCTTTTATTTCTTACGGTTCGGACCATTATTCTAGAGAAGTTAATTTAGGTTTTTGAATTTTTAGTTCATTTTTTATTTTGCAATATGAAAACCATAAGTTTTCATAGTAGCATTGGCACTTTCCCAATAATCAATAGAATTAAATTAGATAAAAACGAAAATATTTTTAAAATACAAAGACTAGACCATGACCTTCATTAATCTCTTGGCCTCATTAGTAGTTGGTTATATCGTCATTGGTAATTTTATTAATGCTGCATAATTGGTTGGTTTCTCTCTATTCCATTCATAGTTGGACATAATGGTAGCATTGATGGTTTTACTTTTAAAAGCTTGAGAGATTTTGCTCATCATTGATAAATCATCCTTTCAATAGTTGATATTATAGTATCGATGCTCGCTAAATATGTAGTTGGCGGCAAATAACACTGTTAATCTGCTTAGCTCTTAATAGTTGGTGGTTTAGCATTACAATTCTTATATAAAATTATGGGGCTTTCGTTAAAAGACCTCCTTTTCCAGTATTATAACTCACTGTCTTAATAATTTAAAAATAACTTAGTAATTAATATTATTTATTGAATTATTTACCACACTTATTAGTTATTTGCCATATGCTCGTAAATAAGCCTGAGAGCTCTCTTTAAGAATTCCCATGATAGATCTAACTCCCCCAAGAACCTTTTAATTATGCCGAACCAACCACATTTATAAGATAAGAAGGCTTAAGAGCAGTCCCTTTCGGGGGCATGTTTACAAGTGCCTGATGGATTAGGTTGTTAGAAGGATGTCTTAAAATATGACCAACCACTTCAATTTTCCTATATTTGATCATTTTATGTAGAGAAAAAATATCACATCTAGTCCATAAGGTATAATTGTATATAGTGGGTAAAATGTTCTGGTAATGTATCTGTTACATGTTCGCTTAATTTGTTGTAATTCATTGTATATTTAAATACTTCTTAAATATTTCGCTTATTCAATTTGTTGTAATTGTATATTTAAATATGTTCATATTATCTTTTTATTCAATGAAATTAACATGCATATAAATACATCTCAAGGCGATTAAATATATATATATTGATATATATTTTCATTTTCTTTCACCACTTGTTTTTTTTGTATAATCATATTATAAAATAAAAAGACATTACATCAACGTCAATATTCTAATAATATAATCAATAAATACTATCATTTTTCTTCGATTGAATTTAATAAAGTGTCTTTTTTCTGTCTAATTTTTATCCTGTGCGATCATCCTGATAACCGTTCTAGATTAAATCTTCAAGCCTATAATTTCTCTTTTTGTTTTTATCAGTATCTAAGACATATATTTATGAACGTTTGCCTCTTACTATTATCTAATTTGGAATCCTTCCAATTTTTCATGCCATAATAAAGGGATGCTATTATTAGAACTTTAAATAGTCTTATCTTTAGGGGAATTGATAGTTGTTGTGATGACCAAATTATCATAACATACCTGTACTATCAAGTTTATCAAAGCAGTAGGCGTACCTACCTCCTCTAAAGTGCTCCATAGTTTAGAATGTATTATTGAGTCAAATGCTTTCTTGAGATCAAGGGCAACGATTATTAAGTGTCTTTTCCGTATAACCGCTATTGCCTCAAGTGCATTACGATCCTTCCTAAACTAAACCAATGAACCAACGAAATGCGGTTCCACATTCGGTCTTAACCTATTTAATTTAACATTCGGAATAATCTTATATACTACTGAATTTAGCGAGATTCCCCTCCAGTCTTCAAGTAATTTAGGGTTCTTAGTTTTAGAGAAAGACTGATAGTTGTGATCCAATCATTAGGACAAGTCCCTTTAAAACTCTAGTTATGATTGAGAGGAGAATCTCTGGGCATAAGACGGGATCAGTCTTCAAATATTCACTGTGTAATGAATCTTGACCACTCGCTTTATGGTTTTCAGTTTTTTTTTATTATCCTAACTATTTACTTTTAGTTGGCTGGGGAAGCCTAAAAACATTTGAATTTTATCGCAGATGATCGTTGTAAGTTTTGCGTAGAAGGATGGGAGTACGACATTGAATGGGGAAATGTCTGAGGTAATTTAAAAGTCAATACCTCTGTGGTAGTTGGACATTTTTGAGAGTGAAAAGAAAGGACGGCGTTATTAATGGAATTTGTTGGGGGGAGGCCATACCTTAGAAGTAGTGGGGCGTTGATCAAGCAGATGAGAATAATGCAAAAATTAGTTGGGACATCATAATTAAGGTATAAGTTGAAATTGGAGTCCATAGCTTAGAGATAGAGAGACGTTGATCGTACTGAGAGGAAAAGTTCAATAGCTGAGTTGAAACAACGTTATTATTGGAATTAGTAGACAAAAAGAGAAGACCATATCTTCCAGGTCGTTAGAAGTTGATCATACTATGAAGATTAATGAGAAAACTGAGTTGAGTCACCATAATTATAGGTATTAATTGAAATTTGGGGTCTAAACTCTGGGATAGTATAGCGTTGATTATTGCGATAAAAATGATACTGATGATTATTTTATAATTTTGATTTCAACAGCTGATGATAATGTTATTTGACATTTGACAGCCATTATGCTTTCTTCTTTTTTTAATAACAATAATAAATAATTTTTATAATAATAAAAAAACTAATAATTTGTATTGGATGATACAGTACCTCTTTTTTTCAGTTCTCGCTTTCTCAAAAATACTCATACCAGAGTTGTACATTTGCTCAAAATAAAAAGATCTTCAAAAATATTTCTTTTATGTTTTATACCTCTCCTCCTGCCTTGATAAAAATTGAAAAACATCTGGGCTTTTAATAAAGGGGTAAAAAAATAAATATCATGCAGATCGTTACACAAAATTTTTAAAAAATAAAAGATCTTCAAATTTTACGATCTTCAAAGATCTTGCTCAAAAATCTTCAAAGAAGATCTTTTGTACAACTCTGCTCATAACTATTCCTTTTCCTTTTCCTTAAGCTAATATTATTATTGGATTGAGTGAGTTCCACACCTTTAATTATTATATCTGGGTTACAAGGTTTGTTGGTATCCTTGAGGAAAAAAATCGACATAATTATTATGGAGGATAGGGCCTCTATAGTAATTCATATTCGCTCATTTTGGGCAGGTCCATAACCAACGTGCTAGATAAGATAAGAAGAGATATATCTATATTCTCTTTAGTGCAATTATTTTTCTCGATAACTATGAGTACGAAAGATTCAGATCATTTCTCTCCAGAATATCGTATCAAACAATTATTTCAGGATGTTGAGATTAATCCTCAATGTCCTTTGATCAGATATTTTCGGTCTGGACCAGAAATGATATCTATGGCCAAAATATATGAAAAGGAAGGAGATATTGAAAAAGCTTTCATGCTATATTATAAATATATTACGTAAGATTATTTGAGAATTTATATGTACAAGATTTTTAATTTGTAGATTATTTTTGGAAAAATTACCAGACATTCCTCAATATAAAGATATTCCAACACTAGAAAAAATTAGTGTTAAAAATGTAGAATATTTATTTCATTATTTATCAATGGCAAAATTATTTTTTTTAAGGCACTTAAAGAAGTTTTACCCAAAGCGGAACAACTTAAGGATAAAATATATTCGAAATACCATAATGAATACATCGAAAAACAAGTAAAATAAAAAAATTTAGATTTTTATTGATTAATGATAACTAAGTTTTTAACATCAATAATTTAATTTATAACAATGATATTAGAAACAAATAGAAAAAACTATCAAGGAAGAAGTGCTTTCTAGAGAAAAATCTCAGCCTTCAATAAAAATGAATACTATCAACAATAACAATGAAAATGAACTTGATAATTATAATATATCAAATTCGTTAAAAAATTATGCAAATACAAATACTTCCCAAAATAATCTAAGTCATTCAAATATAAATTTTAATCAAATTTCTGTTCCTTCAAGGAGCCTAAAACCTCAAAATTTAATTGATTCTTCTATATCAAATCAGTAAATATTACATTCATTTTTTTTATCATACCATTTTAATGGTAGATTATTTATCACAATTTTTTTAAATATCAATTATCAATCTCATTTTATATTATTTACTTGGTAAGGGGGATGGGGTTTATATCCTTTGTGGTAAATTTTTAGGTTTTTCTATTAATTATTTTAAATATATATTAAATTTATAACTTTAATAAATAAATCTGTTATATTTTGGCCATATCTGAAAACTATTTTTCAAATATTGCCCAGCCCAAATGGGGCTAAGATAACCCAGCACAATTTAATTTGTTATGCTCAAACTAAAAATCATAAAATTGCATCATTCATCATTAAAAATTTGCCAAACCTGGCCTCAAAAAATATTTTCTACAAGCATCCCAGCCCATAAAAAGAACCATCCCTAGACTTTTGATCTCTCTAAATAGAATAAGTAATAATTGTTGGTAATTTTTTTAAAAAAAAGAAGTATGTACATGTCTATTGAGATATAGAATCCATAAGGATTTGGAATCTTTCAATTTTAAACAATATTCTGAGGGGAATAAAGAAAGTAAATTAGTGATGTTAAATGGCTCATTTTAAGCCAATTTTTAAAATGGCTAACTCAATATTTTAGCCAGAAAAATATTGCCTTAGCCTCAAGATTTCGATAATATATGTCCAAGGGCCTTTGTTCCTTCCATGAGCAGAATCTTCAGGCTTGGGTAATATTTTTCTGGATAATGTATTGAGTTAGCCATTTTTAAAAATCGGCTCAAAACAAGACGTTTAACAACACTAAAGTAAGTATTCCAGCATGTGAAGGGTACCCACACTGTGAATTTCATACAATATTTGCCATCCAATTTTGTATATTTTAATTTAATATGAAAAATATATACATGAATAATAATATTAATTAGGCTAGTTGAGATGTTCATGGCAAAATTGCCTGAAATTCAGTGTAGATACTCTACACATGCTTGAAATGTATTTCTGGTCAAATCAGATTTTCTAAATTTGAAAATCTTCCTCAATAATGGATTTAAATTTGAGAGGTTTCTGAATCCAATGAATTCTGTATCAAATATTAATAATTTGACTGCTGAGTATTAGTATTATAGTGTTCTATATCTACTTTGATTCTCCAGTTCTATATTCCTTCATAGCAATAAAAATCAGGGATGTGAACCCTTCGACAAAAAAAAGGGTCCGGGTTCGGGTCCGGTAATAAATTTAAAAAGGACCCGGGTCCAGGGTTCGGGTCCAGAGGAAACATAAAAATAATGACTCAAAATAAGACTTTTTTTCATTCTTTTATTATACTTCAATATAAACACATTTATAATTCGAAATGAGATAATTTTTAAATATTTTATTCAATCCCACAATCATGATATCTTCTATATCATCCTTCAGATTTCCACGTAAATTAGTCAACGATGAAAATCCACGTTCTACGCTTACCTAAAATAGATAGTCATTTTTACATAAATTATTGTACTTGTGTCGCCAGTACAGCCACGATTCTAGAAAAGGTATATAATTCTGGATATATTGAAGAATTTTCCTCCCAGAATTTTAAAATGTTTGCATCTCTATTTATTCTCATAACTTCCAAGAACTTTTCTATTAAAGATACAATAGATATTTTTTGCTCCTTTCTATCAGATGATAATTTAATTTTTTTTTCTCTATCTAATAGTAAAATTTCCAGATCATCAATATCGTTATCATTATCATTGTTATCGCTACAACCAGTAGATATTGTTGTAACCACCAATGTATTGTAAATAATAGAGTTTTGGGTGTGCCATAAATCTTCAAGATGGTCTATGGCCATTTGTTTTTCCTCACTACTTAATAAAACCTGATATTGCGGGTCTAAATATATCGAAGCATATACAACACTATTTTGTAAATATTGTTGCTCTCTTATTTTCGTATTTTCTAATACTTCATTTGAAAAAGAACTTGTTATATCTCCCTAACTCTAATTGACATCTTAACCATATGCCATAAAAATCCGATAAACATAATTGTTCAGCTTGCACTTTTAATGTTGTTATTTTTAACCAGCACACTAGTAAGCTCTTTTACTTGATTCCAATCATCTTCTGAAAAAATGATTTCACATGCTCCTATGATTAAATCATTACAGAAATCTTTCAAACTTAATAATCGCTCTAGCATCATACACATAGAGGACCAACGTGTTGTGCAATCTAAAATTGCCATTTACCTTTTTGTGGATTTTAATATTCTAACAATTGTGGGAGTTCTTAAATATTTTACAACATCCCTTGCTTTATCAATTATAGTTTTATAGTGACTATTTTTTAGGGAGATTCCACGAAAAAAATTAATAAAATTATAAAAATTTTACATTATTTTTTAAAAATTAATAAAATTATAAAAATTTTATATTATTTTTTTAAAAATTAATAAAATTATAAAAATTTTATATTATTTTTTAAAAATTATATTTTTACATTAATTTAAAAAAAAAAATTTTAAGTTAAAAATTTTTAACACCCTGAACCCTTGGATTCTCCACTTTTTAAAAGGGTCCATGTCCAGGTTCAGCCAAAATACGAGGGTTCCGGCTCCGGTTCACATCCCTAATAAAAATAAAGTTAATATAGAATTTAGAATAATTATTCTCATTATTACATTGTGATCTGCTTTTAATAATATAAGAAATCTTTTTTTTTTATAAAAAAAATGCTTTGCCTAAAAAAATTTTTAAAAAATAAATATAGATTAATATTCAGCCAACAAATTATTTACAATAGGTACTAAAATTAAAATTTATCAAGGATACACATACATAACTATAACAATTCATAATAAAATTGATATTGACTTATTATCAGTTAAAAAATAGTGCAGCCTGCCCTACCTATTGCTTTATATATTCTCTAGATAATATTATCTAAAATTCTTTCCCTAATATCTATTTAAAAAATTATCCATTTGATAAATATAATGGAGAATCAAATGGAAAAAAATTAAATATATATATATTTTTTTATAACCAAAAATTTTCAAGGTTTAACCAATTATATATTAAAAGCAAATTTTAACTCTACACTTAAGGTTATATCTAAACCTATTTTAAAACAATTTGAAACTTTAGAAAAAATTTTTTAATGATTAAATGTTTAAAATTTATATTTAAAAAAATTAGAATTATATTTTGTACATGTTTTTGTTTTTATATTTAAAATAGCTTTATTTTCATTTTTTGTTTCCAAATCAAAAGTTTGTTGATTTAATGTTTTGCGTAGTCCAATGTTACCACAATTTGTCTTATATTTATAGAAGCAATCGAACTGGTTATCAATCCCTGAGACAAGTCAGAGTTCCCAAAAATTTAGCCCTCATTTTCTTATCCCTGGCGGAATCAAACACCGATAAAAATATTGAGACTGGTGGTCATTTATTTGGAAAATTGGTTATTTTTTTAAAACAAATATTACTGAATGAAATGAATTTGAAAGAGAACAATATAATTTTGAGAGAGGGGCAACATGGTTAAATACGGGATGGGGCAGGTTGGTCAATCTTCTGTTGGGCCATTTTAATATATTTTATGGGATGATTATTTGCCTTAAGTAGTAAACTATTTTTAAGGCTAGAAATTTCTTGTTTCTTTTATAGCGTAGTATAGGTTTTTTTGAATCTTATGTACTTATAATGATCAAATTGAAGATTAATTCATTTTTTTTAAAAAAGGAGAAAATGAAGAAAGAGTAAATGCGAGAACCAATGTCTAATAATACTTAGACTGACGATGCATTCATAATAAAGCATTTGAAAGCGTCGTTGAATGCAGATCAGCTGAACCCGCCATTTTGGTAACCCATATAGTAATTATTCTCATGTTAAAAACTATTATTATATTGATAACTTGTTCCCTTATAATCTCGATGATCAGGTAATTCTTTAATAAAGTTTGCTTCAGACTTAGGAATTAATTGGCCTCTCGTTTAACATTTTTAATAATGATATATAGGTAATCAAAATGGCGCCCCCAGCTGTTTTTATTGATGTGCAACTTTTATTGAATGCATCCTCATTCTAGGCATTATTATATGTCATTGGGGAGAACACAGAGATCGCGAGGAACAAATTAATAAATAGAGAAGGAAATAATAGGAAGATTATCTTTGATATAGTGTATCATATAAATATATTTGAACTTGAAATGTTAATATTTTTTCGAAATTTAAGAGTCAAAATGTTTTCACGATAACCCATCTGGTTATCCCGAAGCAAACTGGTCAACCCAATTCGTTCCTAGCCACCAGCGAGGAAGAAATGGTTTATTTCAAAGAATCCAAGAATCTCCTGACACTAGGATGGATCCACGTATAATATATTATATATATATTTTTTAAATTTTTTTACTTTCCTCGGTGATAAACCTAATTAATATTATTTTTATGTATATTTTTTTTTTAAAAAAAGACTCACCCTTCCCAAACCGCCTTTCTTTCCAGTGTAGATCTGCACAACCAATTTCCCAATCAACAATTATTGCCAGAGTATATAGCTATCGTATGCTCACCGTCTCATAACGAGTAAAACATTTTTTTAAAAATATTAATATATCAAAAAAAGAATTGCTCCCTCGAGGAGCATTAAATCTGGATTTTGCCACATTTTAAAATAAAGCTAAGGATGATCAGTTCATTTCCATTACAGTTAAAATAGGGGGAAACACTTTTGCTGAAAACATTGGAAAATAAGCTTTTTTTTATATAAATAACAAATTTATAAATTCAGCTTCTATTCTCATTATCATTTCTAAATGTATCTGAGCTATTTATAACCTATTTTGAATAAAGTATCACCTAATAAGGAGTTGTGGTAATGGATATGTATGATGATTTCGATTTTCAATGATATATTTGGAACATCTGTCAATAATCATTTACATATTGTCATGCCTTTATTATTCAAAATCATTACTATTATTAGAGTTTAAAATCTGATTAAGATAACTTTCAAGATATTTAAATGCCTTATTTATTCTTTTTTTTTAAAGGGAACCTAGATTTAAAGAAGAAAAATAATAATTTAAACATACTTTCGCTTCATTTATAGTAAACGCGATTTGTTCAAGCGATGCGGTATTTAGCCTTATTAAAACTACAGCTGATTCCTAACAGCGATAATGATTTTCGAAATATACATCGCAACATATGTTTTTTCAAATTTTATCATAGCGTTTTCATCGTTACTCTCCATATTTATAAATTATGTCTTCTTTATTGGCTTGACGATAAATATCGCACCACTTGAACAAATCGCGCTTATTCTTAATGAGGCGTTAATGATATATATTTTACTTATCTTGACTGACTCATTCATTCATTCATTGTTTTTGAAGGGTCGTTGAATAAAACCAGCTGGTGACACGTCATTTTGGCTTCCCATATAAAAGTCTTATAAATAACTGAAACTATATTTTTTTATAAAATTTCGGGAAACCAATATGTAATCAACTCATTTTGTAGTGATACAACAGTCAAATAAATTAATCGCCAGTCAATGCCTCAATATATGTCAATGCACCCATCACATGGTTGATAAATCAATCTATATATATTTAATAATTGCACCCTTTTTTAAAAAAAAATTATTACCATGCGTTTTAGATAGATTATACAGTTAATATTATTTTTTAAAAATATAATTGTCACTATTGTACAAAAAATTTTAATTAAAAGTAAAAAAATTTTCTTTAAATCAAAAAATTATGTGAATTATGCATTTGTTAACATAGTTTGAAGGAAAAAAAATGTTATGAGATAATTAATTAAAAATTTTGAGCAAAATTTTTTTTTTCTGAAGATCACAAAATCGAAGATTTTTATAGTCTCGTGTGAAAGATATTTTTATAAAACATTAGGTAAATTTTGATCAAACTTGTTTCTGAGCATTCTCAAAAAAATCCGGAATCCAAATCTTTGAGGATTTTGAAGAGCATTTCAAACTCTGATTGTTAATGACCCGATAATTACTAATTCTTATACATTTCTGTCTAAATCTCTGTTTTTTGAATAACTTTGATGCAAACGATAGATAGTGCTTACCTAGACTCCTATAAAATGAATTTTAAGACTTCGTTGAATTGTGACACACCATTTTGGTTTCTGATGAAAGAGTCTTTATAAATAAATAAAACTTTTCTTTTTTTTTAAAAAACAAAAGTTTTCTTAAAATTTAAAAATATAAATTATTTACACGGGAAGCCAAGATGGCGTTTCACCGGCTGATTTGCTTTGATTTAAATTAATAAATCGTAAGTCTACATAATATTAATTAACTTTATCGCCATCTCTATCTACATTTTGATACAGCTGCTTAAAGTTATTTAAAAAAAAATATTCTTGGACATAATTAGTGATGCAAAATCGCCCCATTTGAGCAGATTTCAACTCAATATTTTAGCTATAAAAATTTTGGATAATCCCTGAGATTAAAATCTTCAGACTCTGGTAATATTTTTCTGAGAAAAATAACTGAGTTAACCGTTTTTTTTAAATCGGCTCAAATGGAACAATTTTTGCATCATTAGACACCAGAGTTGTTAAAAGATACTTTTTAAATGGATCTAGATACAGAAACATCGTCTAAAGTTATATCTAAATACAGATATTTTAATCAAAAATCTATCTAGATACAGATACCACATTTTTATATCTAGATACAGGATCGAGATACTTGTATCAAGATCCTTTAACAACTCTGCTAGACACAATTGTAAAATGTAAACAAAAATTAGACTTAAATTTATAAATAATATATATTTAAAAAAAAATAAATAATAAACTAAGGGTCAAGATATTTACCATAACAACCGATTTCGGCATGAATGTCTTAGCTACTTGCAAAGAGCAAGGTTTCCATTATCACTCGCAGAGCCCGCCATTATACGAAGTTATTTCTTCTCCTATAGATATATCGTCGAGTCTAGAACTGGAGTGCTCCGCTCGACATTTTTCAAAATTTTTGAGTTTAAAAGTGGATAATAACTTATTTATTCACAATATATATATATATATATAAACTAGATTTTTAAAAAAATATTGTTCAAAATTGATCAATAAGCTTTTCCTATATTTTAATTTTTAAACTTTAATGTTGATTTTTTATTTTAAACATTTGCGCAAGCGCAGCATTCCAATTCTAGGCCGACTATATATTAAGTTTGTCTAGTGCCGTTGAACGGCTCGATTTTGAGCCACTTAAATTTTTTGTATCGGGAAAGATAAAGATTTTGCTCTTAGCTGGCACATTAAGACATCTATTAGCGAAATCTAGAAGCTTTGCCAATATTTTTCTGGTCCTAAAATAATGAGTTAGTCGTTTTTGAGAATCGGCTCAAATCGAGCGGTTTAACATGTTATTTACTCGGTAATTATCGCCTTTTATTTAAAAATGGCGGTAACCGGTTTTACGAGAAATCTTGTTAAAAACTTTTCTTTTTCTTTTTAAATATTGGCATAATAATATTTTAAATCATGTAATTTTTTTTTTTTGAATTCTTCTTATCATTCATTCATTTAAAAAAAATGATGGTCCTCTCATGGATTTTTCCCCTAAAATATCCGAATTGTTCCTTTTCATCCCACAACTCTAAACTGGATAATTAATCGGATTACTTCTATTTATTGTTTCAAATTTCCCGAATAATTTTAATAGCTATGATATGACCATTCCGGGTGACTCAACAAATAATAAAAAACTTCGCGTTTTGAAATCTTTATAAATTCTAAAACGCGGGACTCGTTTTTTTTGTTTATGAGATTAAATATTTTATTAGAGATTATGGTAAACCATCTTCTAGCCCTTTTTGATTTGAGGATATTGAGTTATTTTTGTCAAATTTTAGCATCTTTTTATTTCACATTTCTGAAAACCGACTCTACCCAATTCTAACAATCTCTGAATATTAAATTTCATAAATATTATTTAATAAAACATAACAAAATTTTATTTTTATAAAAATAAAAAACAATGACGCGTTTAAAGTTTTAATGATTTCCAAACGCGGCTACGTTTTTTTTGAACCACTCTGTATGATTTCGAATATCATATTAAATGGGACCAAATAATTGATCATAAATTTTGATATATAATGAAAATATCTCAAATATAATCATGATATTGTGGCTCCTCTTTAACAGTATGTTATAACGCAATTGCTTATAAACATAAATTTGGTATTGTGAGATTTATAAATATTTATAAGAAATCCTCAAAATTTAAATTAAAAAAAAATAATTTTGTACTCGGATAATGTTATTGCTTTGAATGGCCTTAGTTGATAAATGTATTTTTGAAAGAAACTTTTATATTATCAGGAGATCATCTGGCCTTGGTTTAAGTGGGGCTCGAAATTTTGAAACCTAACCGAAAATATTTTTCTATCGACACAGGCAGGGCCGTAAATAAACCTATGTTTTTAAAAAGCGAAGCTCCATTAAAGGTGTAGCTTACTTGCAGTTTATAAAATGGCGTCTATAGCTGACTCCTATATTATATTTACATTTTTAAGTAGATTTTGAAGAATTATGTCAATCTAGTTAGTATATTTATTTTTTTATTATGTTAATATTTTAGGAATGCAAACATATAGTACTGGAGCCTCATTTGGACGTGGTAGTAGAAGATATGAGAAAATTATGATTATAATATTGAATAAAATAATATATACATATATTTATTCCTAAATTTTCGTTTGATATTATCCATATCATCTGCTTATTGTTTTAAATTAAGCTAAGAGTTATAAAAGGTACGGTTGCCAAATATAAATAATATACAAATTATCAACATTTCGTTTCATATTTATATTGTACACTATTTAATAAAAATTTATATTTTCGAAAATGCTAAGTGTTGTAACCTCTGTCATTCTAGGTGAGTGAACAGTACGTGCTGGGGGGGGGGGGGATATCAATTCAATAAGACTAGCTCATATTCAACATGAGAGGGAGGGGGGCATATATAAGAAGTCTTCGGTATCATAAATGTTGCTTTAAAGATTATAAAGGAATTTTATAGTCGATATTAAATTTAGAATCTAACAACGAAAAGAGAGGAACAAATCAATTCTATTTTTTGGTCTTAGTGTCCAACAAAAGTTATTTCATCTAAAAGTATGTTATAAATGAAAAGATATAATTCCAATCAAAATCGCTTTCTGGGATCAATTTTTATTTAAATATATATCTTAACACTTTTAAGGTATGGCTGCCCTAAGAAAAAAATCGCTTGTTGGGATAAATTTTTATTTAAATTGAGGGACTAGGGATATCAACCTTATTTGCCCTATTAAGATACAGGATTGGCTTGGTTAGATATAAGATAAGTTACCAAAATTATAATATAAATAAATATTAGATTACCGCATGTTTTTCTTTGTTTATTATTAAAGTATAAATTAAAAATAAAGGTCATCTAAAAAACAAATAAAGATTATTAAAATATAGTGCATATAGCAAAAAACAAATGAGCATAAAAATATTAAATTTAAAATACTAGTATTATATCTGTGATTCAAAATAAATTTAAGCGGAGATCTTTAATCTGAAAATAAGCAATCAAGTATTTCAAATATTGCATGAACCATTTGATATATCAAAAATAATATATTTGTGAATCATTCTTATATACAAAAATAGACAATATTTAAAATAGCTTCCAAAGAGTTTAACTACTTTGTTATTACCCAGATAGACCCAATTTGGTTCATCTAATTCCTATATGTTGAAGAACATGTTGGAAATTTCTTTTGCTCGCCCAAAAAAAAGTTGTTACGCTCTATCCACTAATAATTTTTTGGGAGGATACATTAGCTTTATTCAAGATTTTAGAATATAATGATGTATGCGGTCGGACCCAAAAATTCAATATGATATTGCCCTCTAATATGCTCGCAGAAGACGTGCATTATCATTAAACTATTTCATTTATTATAATCACTTTTTAGAATAAGGCAAAATTAAATTGTAAATTATGGCAAAATCCTATTTCACATGCCTAATATTAAATCAATAAAGAAAAATAACGAAGATATTCCGATTCCGAATATTCGTAAATGTCTATTTAAATCTCCAACAGGTTACTCAAATACATTTCAATTTATTAAACATCATGTATAGCACTTAACAAAGATGCCAATAAACAAAAGATATTGAAAGGTTTGTATAATGATTTTAAATAAGAATATTTTTTTGTTTTATAGAGAAAACTAAACAAAACTTAAATAATTTAAAAGAAATTTTAAAATCTTTAGATGATGATGAATGGCAATATATTCCATTTGAAGAACTAATTTGCAAAAAAAATAAAAAATAGTATACTTATGGGAAAAAAAGAAATATTAAAATACGAAGGAAGTAGTTATTTCAGACAGAGAATAGTCTTAGCCACTTTAACAAATCAACCTATAAAAATTAAAAACATAAATGCCAAAGATCTAAATCCAGGAATAAAGGATTATCATATATCATTTATACGTATTTTAGATGAAATTTCAAATGGCTGTATAATAGAATTTAATGAAACAGGTAAAAAGCTTAGATTTTCATTAAATTATTTTTAATTAAAATTGGCAAGTAAGTAAGTAATAAATAAATTAAAGAATCTCATATCTACTAAAGCCTCGAGATTTCAATAATATATGTTTAAACCTTTGTTCCTTCTATAAGCAAAATTTTCAGGGTAATATTTTTCTGGAGAAAATATTAGGCGATTTTAAAAATCAGCTCAAAACTAGCTGTTTAACAAGACTAATATCTACACTGCCCACATCAAGCCTTACCCATTTGTAAATGAAAAGATATGTAAAATCTTATTTCGTTATGAAGGAGCAGTTTTTACAATCAGATGCTCTTTCTGACATCAACTTCTATGACTTACACACCATTGTGAATACAGGGGATTAGGCTAGGTTAGTGGTAACCTTTTAAATCTCCATTAGCCACAATATTGTCATTTCCCCCACCATGTTGAGCTAATATCTACATAGGCTAGGTATTTTAATGTGCTGGAATTATAGGTGGGTGCATGCTTATTGTACCAGCTACTCATTTTTTTAGCCCAACCTACCCAAGCAACAAAATTTTCATTATGTATTAAAATATTGTAGATATTTTTAAAAAAACATATAATATATAATTTAGCAATCAATAGTAGAGGGGAAAAATAAGAAGGAAAAGAGAATGTTTTTAAGAGACACTTGTAATTCCTTTTTAGGATTTCAAATTGAATTTTTTGTTTGATGGAAAGGCACCTGTACCTAATTGATGATTGGGGACCGGGGTTTCCCAAAGCTATAAAAATTAGAGGGATAAAAATAAAATAATTTAGAAGGGACCTATATTTATTGCATATTTCTATTAGTAGGAAATGAGGTAACACATGACACATCCTAGATAAAAAATTTTCCGCCTAGCCAAAATGTTAAAGACATGCCATCGGGATGCTTATCATTCTCATTTGGGAACCTAACTATTGGGGAAATTGGCTGAAACCAAAATTTTTCTGATCTACCTTATTTAGATTGTCATGTTGTAAAAAACGGCCACTTACTTAAAGTAAAGAGAAACAATGTCTAGAAAATGAATCAACTTGCTTATTGCAAGCAGTACATATCAACAGATGGGATAAGACAACCTAGTCTATAATAAATGGCAATTTGAAACTCATTGTTTGTAAGTAACATTTCATTGTTTCCACTTATGATCATGTTGGGTCTTCTAAATGAGGGTGGGAAGTGTCCCGATTAAAATAAGTTGAACTTTTTATAAGAACTTTATTATCATCAATATATATATATAAATCAGCAATACATTTTATTATCAACATCAATATTATATCAAATCATCAATACATCTTGCAAAAATTCCCCCAAAAATCATCGTGTCTGAAGACACCCCTAACAGGCCAAGGACACGTATTTTTTTAAAAAACAAAAAATATATATAACATACTACACATAGCAATAATATTATATAAGTTTTTTTTTACATTCAGATTGTAAGAATTTGATCTCCTCCAGTTCACTATTGGTATATCTGTTCGATATTGCAATGTGAACTTTCATATTCATCTTTTCATGATCTGGCACATTCATATAGCTTGTTGTGGCATCCATATGCATCTTTCCTTGATTATGCCCACTCGTATAGCTTGTTGATTTCGGAACCTTTGTAATCATTCTATCAGGGGGACTAGGGGTGTACTGATACCACTATATGCCGGTACGTCACACGCCGCTATCAATGTTTCTTGGATTGACATCGAAAGCACTAACGTGCACTGGCGGACTTAGACTTTTGTATTCCATTTTCATGATCAATATTTATCACCTTATTCCTGGATTCAAAACATTTCATCACTATATAAAAATGAGTTAGTGCTCCATTTTACCTTCAAAGAGCAATTATTCCGAAGATACCGAATTCGATTTTTTGCATAAACATATTGATTACTTAATTACTTTTGCTGTATCTGATCGGTAGAAAATGTGTGGATCGGCACAGCCCTAAATATAATATAAAAAATGTATATTAAAAAGATAAATAATTATTTATATTATTTTTTATCCTATTTAAAAATATAGATATCAGTTCAAAAGGATAATTTTGTATATGTAATATATAAATCCTTTCTAGCCATGAAACCCATTAATTATTAAAAACAATATACCATTTGATGCACAAAATTATTTTAAGCCTATGAATTTATTTAAAATTTTTTAAAATAATTTTTTAAAATATCCACTAACTTTCTAGCGAATAAATTATAAGCTAAAAAAGATTTTTTTAAAAAAAAATAAATAAATTATGCTCGTTTTAAAATGAAAATTTATTCAAAAGAACGATAAAAAATAGGAGGGGTATTGTGTTCTAGAGAACAAAATGTAAAAATGTTATTTACGTATTTTCTTCTCTAATAATAAACGTTTCTGTTGAGAACAACGACGAACCCTGTATATAAGTTATAAGAAAAAGAATTTATCTGCCTACAGATTCATTTTTAAAAATAGTATCTATATCTAGATCCATTTAAAAAGTATCTTGTTAACATCTCTGGATGAGAAGATTAGTATATTATTTTAATTATAACAGATCCAGCATTTTAAACTTTGAAAAATCTTGGATAAGGTTTTCACAGAACGGAAGAATTAAAAATTAAACTTAGTATCGGCTTCAGAACTTAAGATAGTTTCAGAAATCTATAATATAATGAAGAAGTATTAGAAATTTTAGAATTTTTTTAAAATAAAAATCGTGATTATTAATAAATAAGAAAGTTGAAGAAATTAGGTTTTTCTAGCAAATTTTTAAGATAATTTTACGGAATTAGGGGAACTAATGTCTATGTATATAATTTAAGAAGTTCCAGAGGGAAGCGAAACCATTTGTAATTAGAAAAAAAAATATGTTAGTACGATTGAAATATATTTATCAAACTACGAAGAGTCTTTCCACCAATCACGTTGCATCAACAACATGATTGACGGTCGAAATCCGCAACAGTTTTTTCTTTATAAAAATTTGCGAGATTAGTTACTCTTTCTTTTTTTGATTAAAATTTTCGAAGTTTTTTTTTGGAAAAGCCCGTCAATCATGTACGCCAAAGAATATCATTTTCAACTTAGCAAAAATAAATCTTCGATTATAAAACGTCAATTATTAATAATAAAATGATTTCAAGTTGAAAAATTAACAAGATTTATTTTTGTTGAACATTATTTTAAATCAGAAGATCTTATTTTTTTGTAAAAAATACATATGGGCGGTAACTTTTTTTTATTAATTTATTCTTAATTTAAATACTAAAATTCAGAGTTGTTAAAAAACTTTTTAAATGGATCTAGATATAGATACATCGTCTAAAATAATATCTAGATACCGATATTTTAATCAAAAATCTATCTAGATACAGATATAGATACCATATTTTTATATCTAGATCCTTTAACAACTCTGCTAAAATTACATGTAGTGTTAACGACAACTCAATATTTTATCCAGAAAAAATATTACGCAAGCCTGAAGATTTTGCTCATAGAAGGAACAAAGGTTTAGACATATAAGGCAATATTTTTCTGGCTAAATATTTAGTTAGCCGTTTTGAAAAATCGGCTCAAAACGAGCCGTTTAACAACACTAATTAGATGTATTGACTGAGATATTAATCAGGGCAACACACACATATTGCCGGATTATGCACATTCCCCCCCCCCCCCGCTATCGTTTAGGATATAATTCTTTTTTTTTGCTAAAACATTAAAAATATTAAATCATTTTAATATTCATATCTTTATTAATATTAAATAAATAAATAATAGGCACGGAGCTATTTTATAAACCCGGACTATTAACGGGAGGCGCATTCGAACATTCGTGCAACGAGCAAAAATCTATCGGATATTACTTGGAAGGACTCATATGTTTGGCACCATACGTTAAAAATCCAATAAAAGCGAGGCTTACCGGAGTTACCAACGATAATTCAGATCCATCTGTAAGTTATTACTTGAGGTTATAACCGAAAAATTGGCACAGGTCCAAACAATCAGCCAGAATCCCTCTCATAAAGCTTCTAGGAACCCCCCCTCTCCCCACTTTGCTAAATAAATATCAAAAACGGGTTCTAACAAGAATATTTAGAACTTGGACCAAATAGGATTTTAAGTTCTGAATATTTTTAAATAAAATGGCTCCCGTTCCTAAAATTTTAGTAATCAAAAAATTCGAATAAATATACCCTCTAGGTACGGTTTCCGTAACAGATTTTTAAAAAGTTTTTTAATGGATTCTATTTCCGGTTCTAAACTCTACAAATATACTCGCACCATTATTAGGACGGTTTCCATAAAATTTCTGAAATTTTTAATGGCGTCTGTTTCCGGTTTTTTAGATTCTTCCGTTTCCGAGAGTTCTAGTTCCGGTTACAAACCCCGTTAAAGCACTCAAAAAAAAGTAAACAATGATTACACTCTCTTAAGATTAATCGTTACAATATGTATAAACCATTTGCACTTTTATTGGGTCGGTTTCCTTAAAAGTTTTCAGGAAATTTTCATGGGTTATATGCGTACCTTAAAATATTAATATATTGCGCCATTTACTTTTATCCGCGTCCCGTGATTTAAAGTTGGCTGCGGATAATTAAAAAATATTTATTATTATTCGGGTCAAATTGCCTAACGATCAATCAAATCACATGTTTGAGATAAAAATGAATCCAAACATATTTTATAATTTTAAAAAAGGTCGACTCCATAAAATACTCCACCCTACCCCTGTTCGTAAAATTTCTTCACTTGGAAGAATCCGCCCTATCCTCCGAGCTGGACATAAAAATAGTCAAAAGATGCTTACCCACCAATCAAGCGGGCAATAAAATGGGCGAGATCATTTTTACTTGCCCTGTCTACAACGTGAATCCCGTGACTAACAAGGCTATAGATCTCTGGCCTTCCACAAGTTATTATTTTTGCGATATATAATCTTATTCATTTTTTTTATAACAATTAAAAACCAATCAGAATTGCCTAAAAATGGACACGTGTCTGTTAGGTTTAAATAAAAAAAAATTCGTATGGTGGAATATACATTACGAACTCTGCTCTGGCCCGGTCCCGAAAGCTCGAGATGGGTCTCAGGACCAGATCATGCTAAATAGGCAGAAATTTATGTGCTTTAATTTTCAATGTCGGATTAGTAAAAATTGCGAGTCGGATAGCTCAACTCAGAATATCGATTTTTATATGATTAATATGAAGGAAAGGAGACTGACCCGAATATGAATGTTTTTCATTTACATGTGTCGTCCGCCTAGAATTGGAAATGCTCCACTTGCGCAAATGTTTAAAATGTGAAAATCAAGTTTAAAATCAAATATAAGAAAAGCTTATTGATCAATTTTGAACAGAGCTATAACTTTGACAAATAATCTTGTTTTTATATATATATATATTGGGAATAAATAAGTTATTTATCCACTTTTAACTAAAAAAAAAAATTTATCGAGTGGAGCACTCCAATTCTAGACCGACAATATATTGCCATTAAAAAAAACGGAAAATTACAAGCACCACTTTGAAAAAAAAGTCCTTTTTTAAAAAATTTAGTAAAGATTTCTAAATAGTAAGCTAATAAACATGTTATAGCTTTCGAATCTCTTAATAATATTTAAAATATTTTATAAAATGGGAACAAAAATCAAACTATCAATTTCTTCTCAAAAAAGGTAGCGATGCAAATGGATGCTCCGAAATTGACGATGAAGAAGGAAATGATAATTTAGAAAGTTTAAATATATATATATATTTTAAAAAAAATGTTTTTTGATAATTTATCAGTTTCCTTCCAGAATCCAAAGGTAGAGATCTGCAAAAGTAGGCCCGGCCTAGCCCAAACTAATACTTTTTAATAAAATTTGGGCTGGGTCAGGTCGGGTTTTAGAAATTTTTTAAAATATATCTAAATTTATCAATTTTATTTTGAATTTTTTTATGTAAACTGAAAATATGATTTTATTTATAGAAAATAGATGACGAATAACATATATCGTTTATTTTGAGTTATTATAAAAATTAATTTCTATATTTTAAGAATATCTGGCAGGGCCGGCAAAATTTTTTAAAAAAAATTTCGGGTACGGGCTGGGCTTGAAAAATTAGACCCGATGCAGATCACTATCCTAGGGTAAAAATCTTAAAACATTTAAAGAATTTTTTTTATGCATCATGAAAATTACAAAAAAATATTTGGAATAAAAATCTTCCTTTCTTTTGAAAAAATTTTTTTTTGATCTCCGGACTTCTTTTTTCATTCGGATTAATCGACCCTTAGATTTCTTTATATTTTATAAATCTATAAAATAAATAAGTTAGCGATGCGTTGAAAGACTACCAGATTACGAAGGTGAGGGGTGTGGCCTACACTTTAAAGGTGTCCCCCAATATAACCACCAGACTGATAACCGAGTCCCAAAAAATACTCAAAGCTATCGGATGTACGAACGCTTATATCAGAACAGATAATTACAAAAGTTATTCATATTTGTATATTAATATCGTAGGTTATTAATAAAGAAAGCTTTTTAAAAAAAGAGGAGAAATAGGGGGGATCAGTAGGAAGCAAGGCGAATTTGGATTCGCGTAGGCTGAAATAAGAACGATCTCGAAAAAGAAACTCACAGCTGGGCCGATTTTGATTGGTCTGATGCTATACGGTCTAAACTATACCATGTTCGACTAAGATTTCTACAAAACTTACTGAGAACATTTTTTGAGATATATATTTACACAATCTTCATTTTTAATAAAATATTAAATTAGAATCACAATGCGGCTACTCTCCTGGGTTTGGCCTCTGCCTCTACGCCCAAACCCAAAATGGTTGCACTTATTTTAGCGAACACTGCAGCTACAGGGATGGAGAAAATTCTAAGCTCATAACTCCCGAGGAATTAGCTTTACGGGTCACTTACAAATTGCTAGACGAGATTTACATGGTAATTGAAAACTTTTTTTTCTCACTCCTCCCACCACACTCCTATTTTTTATCCCTTAAGTTATTTTATAATATGAAATAATAATGAAAACTTGCCCGAATACTATTTTGGCTCCAATAGTAGGTCCTGTTTTAATTTTGGTTCCAGTTTAGTATTGTCTGATCATTATTAAAAAAAGCATATAGCTTTTTGGTCCAGACAAAAAACTCAACCTAGTTTTATAAAACTGTGAACTGCCTTCCTTCTCATCCAGTGAAAATTTTTGGAAACTTTGCTTTTTCAGAAATTTATAAAACAATTTAACAAATGAGTGAATACTAAAATAAATTAGGTATTTGCACTAATTTATTATTATTGTCATGATTATGGAATATATTTTTTATATGAATAATATTCTTTAATTCATTGTTCAAATAATTACCATATTAAATTGGTGCTCTTAGTAGCCTTAAAAAAATACATATAAGTAATTTCAGTGATATATATGTATATATATAATAAATACAATATCTTTTTTAAACAGGGTGGAAGCACCGACTCCTCAAATCAATGGCTCGCTTTTTTGCTCATGTCCTTGACTAACCACAAAGTTTCCAGGATTTTGACATCCCGTCTCACTGCCTTTTCCCGAAATACCCTAAAACTTATCGAAGATGTTATTGGTGTAAAGTTTAAAATAGACAGGTTGGGTAATAAAAACCACGATGAAATGGAGCGTGAAGGTGATAAAGAAGTTAAGGTCTTGAATTACGTTGTGACTTGTTTGGGCGCCGGGTTCGACAATATCAACAAAGCGCTTAGATGAAATGCGAAATATCGAGAAAATAAATTTTTTTCAAGCGAATTATATGTATAATATCTTGTCTGAAAAAAACATATATTATTATTATTATCAATATGTTAAATATTTTTAGGAGTTAAATTTTAGAGGTTCAGGTTGAGATAAGAAATAAAGAGACTCATTCAGCTCATATTATTTAAAATTTTCTTGAATCCACTTCCCCCACAACTAGTGTTGTTAAATGGCTCAATTTTTAAAAATGGCTAACCCATTTTACACATAAAATGTTATGCAAGCCTCTAGATTTCGTTGATTGATGTCCAAAATCTCTAGACTTGCCTAATATTTAATGCTAAAATATTGGAATAGCCGTTTACAAAACTGACCACAACTAAATGTGACAGTTGTAAACTAAAAGTGAATTTTTACAATGAACTTAACCAAATATATAGATAGAAAAGTATATGAATGATTATAATGTTTTTACATTTTAATAAATAAGAATTTAAATTAAAATTACGAGATAATTATGAAAAGTAACGCAGTGATTGATATTTATCTAACGAGCAACTCAGAATATCAATAGTCCTTCACCTCTGTGTGATTTTGTAACACTTACCGTATGTGTAAATACAACATGATTTCCATATATAGAAATTTAATAGCTGGATTAAATGAAAATACTAACGATATAAGAAAAATAATTAAGTTCTATAACGATTGTAATTGCTTAATATCTGCCTATGATATTCTTCGACTATTGCACACAATAGGGTTGGGCACGTAACTTGGAACAATTTACTATTAACATTATTCAAAGAACGTAGCTACCAATTATACCTAAAAAGACGGGTACGTTTACATATAATTATAAAAAAATCTTGTAAAAAGATTTCATTACGCAATCAAAAATAAGAATAAATGGTAATCGAAAAATGCTATAATAATTTTATTTATCCATTTCTATAAAGTCTAAAATTAAAAATAAAGTATAATCGGAAACTAGTTCATTAAGCTGTTAAAACTTTTTCTTAGTTATAATTATGTAAATTGAACGTGAAAAGCACATTTTTTTTCAAATATCTTTTCCTAAAATTAAAATTGGGCTATATTCAATTAATATATTTAACTGAGAAAAATAAATTTATGGAAATAGCCTACAAAAAATAGTTATAGATACTTATCGATTAAAACTAATCATTAGCTAATATATAAAACATCACTAGATATTGATTTGCTTATATAAAAAGAAGAGTATTAATATCTCATTAACGGAAAGGGTAGATAACTTAATTAAATTAATCAAAATATAAGATTAGCTTAGGATGCTTAGTGCTCATATGAATATCATTTATTCTAATTCTTCCCCTCCCCATCTATGATATATAAATATATATTTTCCTTTTTTGTTGATATAATATATATAACTATAGATTGGCGATTCATTCATTAAAGCGCCTTCAAATTGAAGTCAGCTGTAGCGTCATTATGTAGCTTGTACGTTGAAAAGGGGCTCCTCCCCCCCCCTCCTAAGTGATATCCAACTTTTATATAATTAATGCCTGTTGAAGGAAGTTATTTTTAGAAATTGATATTACTTCTTTATATGAGAACTGATAGAGAGGAAGCTATTTTTTAAGTAAAGATATTAAGATACTCTATCAGTGATTAGTTCAAGATAGATATTACCTAGTTACAATTTTATAGAAATTATTTTTAATTAAAGATATTAATATATTCTATTAGTGATTAGTTTAAATATTATTTAGTCTTAATTTTACTCTGATATAAAGTAATAGTGTATAAAAAGATTTTTTTAATCATTCGTTGCGTAAAAGTCATCACGGACTAAGATATATAGACTTTAGGTCCTAACAAAAATGTCCTCATATTGAAATCAGCTATAGCGCCATTTTGTAGCTTGTACGTTGATCATATGCCTCAATAATAATAATATATTTTTAAATTTTATATATATATAGCTATATCAAGATAATAAATTTGTAACATATCATCAATACATTATAATAATTAGTTAATAATGTAATTAAGTAAAATAATCAAATGAATCCTAATCTCAACTGATCTTCAATTAAACTATATTGGTAATCTCTATAAAAAAACTCAACATTTACTCCAACAGTACTTAATTGACTTTCTCCCAGAAATTATTCAAAAAAACATAGATTTGCGACAATGTCACTCATACAAAAATCACCAAAATTATACCCATACAAAATATTCCATACTTATATCTACACACTCAAATATTCAACATAATTATGATAATCATGAAAAATATTAAAAATTTGAATTTCTAAATTCATCATTTCCGGTGGAAAATTTGAAGAGATAGAACGGTAAATATGGGTGTGACTAAAATGAGAATTAACAGGTAAAATTTATTTATGGCCTATCAATTATATTTTAAAAACTTTAAAAAAAAAGGTTTTTATTATAAAAATCAAATTTATCCAAAATTAAAATTATCTAAATATATAAATTAGAATAGAAAAGATATTGTAATCCATAAATTATTAATATGTATAACAGATCTATTATATAGAAAATAAAACACCCATGATATTTTATATATCATAAATAAAATTCCGCTAGATGGCGTAAATTATTAAAATTTAGTTTTTAATTAAAAATAATATGAATTATAGGAGCATAATTCTTCGCTCTGGATTAATTTATTTGGTAGAAAATAATATAAACATAAAAAGAAAAAAAAATTTAAGATCCAATCATTATTTTTGGAGTTATGATGTGAATTCTCAGTTTAGTCAATTTTTTAGATTTTTGGAAATTAAATATTTTATTTTTTTTGACTCATTTGGTGTAAACTAATTTATTATGAACATAAAATGAAAAAATTTTTAAAATCCCAAAAATTTTAAAAAAAATTAAAAAATTGACTAAACTGAGAATCCACATCATAACTCCAAAAATAATGATGGAAACTTCCTTCACAAACTCAGGGGCTAATGTTAAGGGGGATCTTTAAATTTTTTAGGGGGCTCCAACCCCTGCCCGCCTTCTCCTAGTGACGTTACTGACCCATTATCAATGTATTTAGATTTAGAAAATTTTTGACATAAAATTATATTTTTATTTCAAATAATATTGTGGTGATTAAATAAAATTTAAAAAAAATATATGTATATCCTTTTAATGCCTATAATGTGTGTTTTACTGTCCCTAAAAAATGACAATAATCTATTAATTTGGAATCATATTATCAACCTAAAATAATTTGTTTCGAATATGATTTTATAACGATGATTTCGGTCAGTGTGTATAGCTCACTTAATTCTGTACAAGTTATACATCGTCTCCTATACATTTAACTTATTTTTCTTATCTAAATTTTATGGTATTAAATTCTCGCTTCTAACTTATTAGGGGGCCATATTGAACGCCATTTTAGCTTATTTCTTTTTTTTATGTATTTTGTTTTTTAATATTCGAAAGGGTGGACCTAAATCCCGACAAAGAAAATTTTTATATTATATATTATTTTTAAATTTTCTATAATTTTTCATAAACAATACGTTTTTATAAAATAAATATAATTTATTAATAATAATTTTTTATTTTATTAACTCCAAAATATATAAAATAAATTATCTGGTCAAAGAACATTTAGGACTGTGATCCTGTTTTTTTTATTGGTGAAAATTGTTAGACCTGCAGGGATATAATTTTGAAGCTCGGCCCGGATTTGCAAACATATCTCATTTTCAAATTTTCAATCCCTATCCATCCTGGATTTTAAAGGAACTGGTTCCTGTTTATATTTACTCTTAAGGCTGGCCGGAATCTTAAAATTTTGATCATATTATGGGTTGGTTAATTTTAATGATATACCCCCTTTTAAATTTTTAAACTGTTTAAAAATTAAATTGCAAATCTTATATTGCTGATAAGTTTCAGCGGATAGAGGAATTATTAATTACCTTCCAAAAATTAAAAATATTGAATAATTTTGGTGTGTATTTTAAAAATTGTTCCAACGGGAAATTACAAATGATAATAGCATAATATTGAAATAAATTTTTATATTAAATATCCATTTGGAAAAAAAAAAATAATTCAAAATCGACAAGATTCGAAAACTTAATTATGAAAAAAAAAATATCGGAATTTAGCAATAAGCCTTATACTTAAAACAATATTTCCTATTTGCGTCAATGAAGATTTGATCACGTTTTGAGATTAAATTAAAATTCGAGTTTATGATCAAAAATATAAATAATAAATGTTTTGTCATCCTTATTTTAATAGCAAATATATTATTTGCCTGGCCCCGCCCAAATAAAAAAAAATTTTCAGACGTTACCTAGTCCGGGCCGGGTATTGCGCTCCAAAATGGAATGTTATCAAATGTTTAAAGTTTTATAAACTGTTCAATCCTTAAGATATCTTCTTTTTTAAAAAAAAAATAATAGGGTTCAAAAAGAATATTTTATCTAAAAAAATATTCACACTCTACTCTCCCACCTTGACCTTAAAACAAATACTCAATATGTGATAAACAATAATTATCTCGATTTGATAACGTAAATTAAAAATATACAATAATTTCAGATTAAGAACCCAACAATTGGTTAAAAAAAAGGATTCTAATTTATTAATTGGATGTTAATAAATGGGAAAATATTCGTCCTCGACCCACGACTTCGAGTTGATAGTGTAAGTAAAGTAAAAATATAATATTTTTCAAATTAAGAACAATTGATTTTTAAAAAAAGGATTCTTATTTATTATTTCATAAATGGGAAAATATTCGTCCTCGACCCACGACTTCGAGTTGATAGTGTAAGTTAAGTAAAAATATAATATTTTTCAAATTAAGAACAATTGATTTTTAAAAAAAGGATTCTAAATTATTATTTCGATTTCATGATGAAAGTGCATAACTCGAGTTCACTATTTGGGTTTGTAACTTGAGTATAAGAACTTAGTTTACAATTCGAGTCAATTTTTTTGGCCAAAAACTTGGCTGCAGTTTTTGAAAATCGACTAGATTTAGTCGAATCACAACACTATTAGTATAGATTTTTCCTAATAATAAAAAATATAACATAGTAGTGTATGTCTAGATTTATTTTTGTCTAAATTGGGGAATTACATTAAAAATGAACAAATATAAATGTTTTTGAGGTTGCTAATGCAAGAAATATTATAGTAAAAGTTATATAAAAGGGTCATGAGTAAAATTAAAATTAGTACCATGAATGATCCATTTTATCATTGGAACAAAATTTATTTAAACAATTTAATGTTGCCAAAGATATAAATTCTCTCGCTTTCTCTGCCCCTAATTTGTCAAAATTATTAATTTTATTAAAAAAAATTTTAAAGATTCATGCAATAAAAATTATTTTTGAAATTTATAATTGAGGTTGGGAGTCAAATTATAATTAACTTTGGAGGGATGTATTATTTTTAGAGGGGGGGAGGTATATCAGGGTATTCTACTTATCTCATAAATTGTAATGGTTAGTGTATGATTGGCATGGAGCTGGAAAGGGAACGTAGAGCTCTATATCCTATGTCGTGATAGAGGTATTATTTTAAAAATCCAATACTAAATACTAATGTAAAAATTATACTGTTTATAATTAATGTTTTGAAAGTCAAATATGTTCTTACTTGATACCTTTTTGTTCTTATTCTTTAACCTTTTCTTTTTTGTCTTCAAGAAATCTCAAATAAGAATTTTTCTCTTTTCTTCACAAGACACAAAAAATGGAGGAATCAATTTTTAAAAAAAAAATATAAAAAACGCAATAATAATTTTTTATTTCTTATTTTCTCTCTATATATATACCTATTTAATTAATGCATAATAATAAACAAAAAATAACAATAATTTTTTCTGATTTTAAAAATAGCATTTTTTCTATAATATATCACAAGAATGAATGCGCAAAAAAAATCAAAAATAATAATCACAAATAAAAATTGAAAGAATGAATGCGCAAAAAAAAATCAAAAAAATATTAATCACTATGGAGGAATTATTCGCAGGAAAGCTACAAATAGCTTCATTAAATATTAATGGAATAAATAACAAATTGGCGGTTCTTTTAAGAGGTTGGAAGCAAAAGGAGTAGATTTAATAGGTATCCAGGAAACTCATTGCCCAGGTAACAGTACGGCGAATTTTAGTGTATATAAGATGTTCTGTTCGGGGACCACTTCAAATGGTTGGGCCGGAATCGCCTTTCTGACTAAGAAGCGTTTACATTAATACATTATAAAATTTGTACCCGTGTAGGAGAGGTGCGGACTTCTATATCTAAATACCAAGTTTAGACCCACTATTTTTGTGAATTTCTATGCTCCACCAAATAGGAATATGAGAAAAACTTTTTTGGACGAAATGATAAATATATTAAACTCACTCTCAAATAGATATAACGTAATAATCCTGGGTGATCTTAATATGAAAATAGGTAAAGAAAGTGAATATATAAGTAGAGGAGTTATAGGGCAAGCTGCCATCCAACAATCTAATAATGTAGACAGCATAAAATTCCTAGATTATTGCAGTAATAAAAACTTTAAGGTTGAAAATACTTTTTTCTGCCATCGTGATATCAACAAGTATACCTTTGTGAGGGGTAGGCAGATATCTCAAATTGACTTTTTTATCTCTAATATTCATAGTTGGTTTGTAGATGTTAAAGCATCTACCAGGGTCAACATATCTGATCATAAGATGGTTACTGCAGTTATAAAAATAAAAAACATCTGGGGATATCATAATAATAGCATTCTTAACTCAATGGCCATCAATGTTAACTCTTTCAATATAAATTTTCCACGTATATCAAATAAGTTTCTATTGCAAGGAAATAAAACACTCTTTGAACAATCCCTTATCTCGAAAAAAGGAACCTTTATTAATGTTACCAGAAATGGAAATGTTGAAGATTGTTGGGAACTTTTTAAGAAAGAACTGGTGGAATCTTATGAAAGACTACCAAACGTAAATCTTGTGTCTAGGAAAGAATGGATGTCTGATGAAACCCTTGAGAAAATGTATCAACTAAGAATGATGAACAGCTCTAACAATGATTTGTGGAAAGACATTAAAACATTACTACGGAAAGATAGGAGAATTTTTATAGCTAAAAGGGCGGCAGACATTGATAAAGATATGAAAGAGAACAGAATCAATGATGATTATAAAAAATTGAAGTACTTCTGCAAATTTCGTTGCTTCATGAAACTCCCTATGATCGTCTTAGAGTATGGGAAAACCATAACAGACCAAGATGAGCAACTGGCACTGTGGCTTGATCATTATATGTCGGTTTTCGACTCCCGCAAGGCTACTCCTTTAACCACTATGAATTCTCATACAATCGTATCCCCGGCTGGTTTCTCTTCTAATGAAATTTCAAACATTGTAAAGAAATTACGGAACAATAGAGCTCCGGGTTTAGACAACATCAGAGCTGAATATTTAAAAATATCCCCGAACACAATCTCTTTTTCCTCCTTGCTCTCTTTAATAAAATTTGGGAAAGTGGGAAAACTCCAACAGAATTGAATAAATCTCCTGTGTACTTCCCGAAAATCAAGGAACCTATGAAATTCGCGGACTATCTGGCAGTAGCTCTCACCTCCTGTGTATCAAAAGTCTTTATGACACTTATCAAAAACAGGATCTTAACTTCAACGCCCCACCATCTTTCTAAATATATCTGCGCATATAGGCCTAATAAAAACATTTTGGAACCTATTTTATCACTAAAAATAATTATGCAAAAGTGCTGGAAATACAAGATTCCCTCTTATTACACTTTTATTGATTTTAGTAGGGCCTTTGATAATGTAGACCATAACGCCTTATTGGAAGCATTATCAGAGTGCGGCATCGAACCAAATATTATCTCCATCTTAAAAAACCATTATTTCAAATTAATTTCATGCTTTAAAACAAACGATAAAATATCACCCTACTTTAAGATAAAAAAAGGAGTAAGACAAGGTTGCACCCCACCGCTCCTTTTTAACATCATAATAAATAAAGTCATAAAGGAGGTAAATGTTGCTGCCGACTTGGCAGACTTTGTGTCAAATGAAAACTTTCACTTTGTTAATAGGATCGTTTCGTATGTCGACAATATTGTCGTAATATCAAAAAATATTGAAGAGACTGTAAGCCTGATTCACCTAATCAAAACCATAAGCCTCAGAGTTGGTCTAAAAATTAATTTCAATAAAACGGTTATTCTTCCCTCGCCAAATACACCACCACTCCAAAATCTTTTGGTAGGCGGCAACGTTATCAAAAAAGTAGATAATATCAAATACCTGGGTGTGATGCTCAATAACAAAGGTGAATGCAAGGAGGAAATGAAGATTAGAACGCAAAAAGCCAAAAGGGCGTTCTATATGTACATGAAAATCTGGAGGTCTAAGAAAATATCGGTTTTCACGAGGTTGAGGCTATTCAACTCTACGATTATCCCCATTTTATTATACGGAAGTGACATATGGGAAGCTAACAAGACTGACCTAAGACGTATACAATCCTTTATAAACAATTGTCTGAGAACGATAAATGGTATTTTTTATCCCAGAGTCATCTCTAACTCTAACCTCTGGAGGAACGCTAGCCACACTCCGATAAATATTACGCTAAAAAAACGACGGATACAGTTCCTAGCCCATATAATAAGGAATTCAGATCACAACCTTGCACATGATGCTATCGCTTGGTTATATACACATAAAGGGAAACAGTATACTAAATACAAATCGTTATGGTATTACAAAGTTATAAAAGACGTGATGGAGCTGAATGTAAACATGAAACAATTTATAAAGCTTAATAATTGCAAAAGGTCTATCAGAAAACTCTTTCGCATCAAAGATTGATATTTCAGATGAAAATTGTTCCTGGGGACCTCTCGTTCACATACCTTTTTCTTTTTCGATTTCTTATGTGGATTTACTCCTCTCGAAAGTATTTTTCTTTAATTTACCTCAAAAATAAATAAACTTGTTTTAATACAGTAAAATTTTTTAAATTAAGTTATCCATCTCCCACCTTTAAAGTAATTAATTTCAAATGCAGTTCTTGGGTATAGGCTATTTTTTGGTCCCGCTCTTTTTCCTTTAAGCCTATAGACGTTTTAATAACATTTCTTATAAATGTTGTGCGTACAAGTACGTGCGGCTTGCCCACAAACGTGTGGAGGGCTCCTCATATTTTTTTCTCTCCAAAATTATTAAATTCCAATTAGATGGAAATGAGGAAAACCTAGCGTAGCTCTGTTGTGTATTCAACGTTAGAGGGCGATGCGCTATATATCACGTAAAATTAAATTAATGAATGCGCAAAAAAAATCAAAAATATTAATCATAAATAACCCACTTATTATACAAAGTGACTCCACGCTAACACGATACACATAGCAGGTATTAATGCAATATATTCTTGATCTGGCATTCGCATATGAGTGTGCAGATAAAGAAATGGCGAATAAAAATATGTCGGTTGTCAATAAGATGAATAATAATAATTATTAACATTTTTTTTTAAACGAATACGTTTGATAATGACTATAATAAAGCTAAATATAATAATATCTTTGATAAAGATTATAACAAAGTAAAATATCATAAATGTGGGTTTAATCATAACCGGGAGAGTGGAGGAGAATATATTTAACATATATTTTAAAACAAATTTAGCTTTTTAGGGGGATTACGAATGACTCTAACAACGTTTCTTTGTTTTAAATAGGGTAGAAAATTAATCAATTACATGAGCAAACCATCGGATCTGTCCTATTCTGATTAATAGATATTTCAAGTAAATGTATCAAAAAAGCTTTTATTATTAGTTGTATTCTTTAATGTTGTTGCAAATTAAAATTTTTACCAAATGCTTTCAATATATTTTCTCTTTGAATGTGTTTCATTTATTGTAAGAACATAGAAAAATAATTAAAAATTTCTTCAATATAATGAGATGTTAGCCCTAAAACAAAAGAACTTGTGTTGGGCTGGTCAACATCAAATGAAAATTAATCTGACTTTTATTTTATATTATTTCTTTAACCAACTGTTCTTTTAGCAAATGTATTGTACATATACAATTTCATAATAGTCAAGATCACTTACAACAGTTTTAAAGGGTATATTATTATTTATAAATTATCTGTAGCAAGTTATCATTAAGATAAATTTTTTTAGATATAGAAATTCATGATTTGCGCTTTAAAAAGTGTCTATTTTACTACAAATATTATTACTTGAGTATGAATGGAACTTATTGTAATGATTAATAAGAGGGAGTGTTGTTTTTCCTTTACATTTACAATACCCTTGCAATGATTGTAAGCAGTCTTCGTCTGTATTGAATCCCATATAATCGCCCTCTTTTGTGAGGAAATTTTGCCAACCTTAACATCAAACATAATTATTTTATCAGAAGTATTTTCATCAGGGTTACCAAATCTCCCGATTATTATTAGTTTACGTCAAAACACGCTGTATTTTCTATAAAAAAATCATCCGATTTTATTTTAAATTTTTTTGAAATAATAAAATTAAAATGAGCTTAATCACTCACTATACGCTATCATTTTTTTTAATTTTAATTCAATCACCCATTTTTAAAAAAAGGAGCAAAGTTTTTGATTATTTTTTTTCGATCTCCGAAATCTTTTCAATTTAAAATATAATTATTACCGCATTCGAATGCCGATTCAGAGCGCATATTTAGTTCAATAAAAAATTTTTAACGGAAAGATCGCAATCGGTTATCTTTATCAATTTTAAAAGCGGAAGTAGTGATGAAGCAATTTTTTAATTATTCCTGTAAATATTTTAAAGAATGGAATGAAGAAATGACAGGATTCTATTAAAAGGAATTTATTAAATATTCCGAATAATTTGTTATTATTCGAATCAAATTATTTGTATTCGTCATCATTTGATTTAATTCTTTTTTGAATAGGCCTACTTAAAACTAACCCTAAAACCATTAGAGCAATTAATGTGGAGAAACAAGATCTGCCTAAAATTTTAACTCATTAGGCATGAAAGATGGCTTCTTATAGATTTATTGAATATAGGACTAAAAGTAAAAATGAGATCGTGGGTACATTATCAAGGCTTCCAATATTGGAGAAGAAGAGAATCAAGATTCCTACATATTTTAGAGCCTTAAATGATAAATTTCAATGACATGCATTTGTCAGAAAAAATTTTCCTAAAGAGTTGAAGCATGACTATCATTAAAATATAGCATGATATATTCCATAAATATTTGATTGTCACAAAGATAAAGAAATTAATAAATTTTATAATCGACCGGAAGTTATATGTCAATAGTGATATCATGGAATGAAAGATTGGTTATTAAATAAATTAAGGAACGCAGTGCTAAAATTAATTCATTGGGGAAACCTTGGTTAAAATGTAAATTTTTAGATTTTATTGTGTGTGGCTTAGGTGTGATATTGATATAAAAAATTATATCAAAATATGTTTTGAATACAAGAAAAATACATTTGGACCAAATAAAGAATATGAGATTGAAAAAGGAATTAAGAGACTAAGTCAAAATCATTATTTACATTTGAAAGGAAGAATTAAATATTTCATGACCAGTTTGGTTGAACAAAAAGAATCAAAGGTTGGAGAGAGGGAGTGATAAAAGAGGACAATTTCATTTATATATTATTTAAACTTCTGAGAAAACATTGGAGACATACAGATCAGTTAAGAGATTGTTCTTATTCTGACTCACAAAGTTTCATAGAAATTACAGAAATAGTTATGCCAGCAGGTATAGATATTACATTCCATTGTACCAAGAAACTGGTAATTAACTGAGGTTAATTGAGGTAATTTAACTTTAAAAATGTTTGAAGATCTTACATAGAAATTTATAATATTGATTATGATTAAAATAAATTATTACGATCTACTCTTTTATCTTGGTTTATTAAAGTTTTCCATTAAAATGTCAAACTCTGAGTCAATATATGGTGTCAAAAGATAATATTATATTATTTAAAAATATCTTACAAAAATAGTGTTCCCAATATATAAAATATAAGAATAATATTTTGGAATTATGACTTTAGATAAACGTATTAACTTAATATAGAAATACTATTATTAAATTTTTGATAAAATATTTATTTATGAGTTATATTGCTCAAAATATGAGACAAATTAGTTAATTGATAATTTAAATTATTTGTTATCGAATGCATCGGTTGAGATAAATTACTTAATAAAGTGCTAACTAATGTTTTTTGATCTTTTGCTTTGATTAAATATTCAATTTGACTAGCAGAAAGATATTGACCAAAGAGTAATCCTCCTAATAATATAAGATGCTTGTGTAATGAGATAATGTTTCCAAGCCCAACTAAATCCATCTCTTTCTTTATTATCATAGGTGTTTGCATTTTAAAGAGTGGAATTATGTTGGCAAACTTTGTACCAATTAATGCTTTCTGAGCAACTAAATAATTACTCTTTCTGAATACAAAATAATTTTTTCTTAAATACATTCTCATGTGAAACATAGTCCCTTTAGGTGATGGTAAAACATGAAAAAATGAAATTAATGGATAATCAAAAAAGCTTCTGAGTTGTTTTGCCAAAAAATTCTCAAAAGTAATTTCTTTCAAATCAAATGGTATATTTTCTTCTAAATGTTTATGATAATCTTCATTATATCGCATTTTCCTTGAACATTTTTCATATTGTGGGCGATTATCTGGTGCGTAAAATGGTTGAGTTGCGACTTCTAACTTTCGTCTCAAAAAATGACTTGGTCTGGGTTTGGGGTCGTTTATTCTAGTTCTATTTCTTATTAATCCTATTATTATTTTATCATTATATAAAGGGGATTTGTTGAAAGCTTTCAAGAAAAGATTCTTTTCGAAAAGATGCATGACAATTTTAATGAATGCATCAAATATAAGATAATGTTAAACCTCATCCGATTAAAAGACTATAGAAAATTCTTGCTCCATTCGAAATTTTAGGATAATTGTTGCAAAATTGTAGAAATCTATTTATAAATGAAAAATATAAGTGAACTATTTTTCAATTGAGTCCAAGAATTTGCAATACTTGTATTTAAAAGTTTTTATTCACATTATTTTTTACTAAAGAATAAAAAAATTTACTTGATTGCTTCGAAAAGCTTTTAGTAGCGTAATGCTCTTAAATAGTTATAGGTTTGAGAAGATGTTTATTTGTGAATGAAGATGCTATAGTTAATTTAATATATTTTTTTATCTTTCTTGTTATTAATGATAATAGTGAATTCCAATTTAAGAAAAGAGGCCCAAATAAGAGATGACTCTCAGTCTTAGACTATCTTATACTAATTATACTCTCTACTTTTTTTGTATTATTATCATAAAAATAATCGTGTCTACTCATATGATTTACGTACAATATTTTTATATAAATTATTTTATTTAATATTTATTATCATTATTAGTCAACGTGCATTGCATTCTATTTTATTTTTGGGATATTTAAATGAAAAAAGAATATATTCATGATTGAATTCTCAGAAGTAAAAAATGTAATTATTGTGATGATGTAATTTATAGAATTGAATAAGGGTTTAATAAAATTATGATTTGGATGTAAAATTTATCTTGTGAAAAATATTCATAATAATTTAAAAATATATATTTATAATCACGTAGCCATTTTCATGTAATAATGGTAGAGAATTTAAAAATTTAATTATATCAATAGAAAATCATATAATGTAGCTTTAATATTTATTTAATGCTCATATATTCAATTTTCCTTTGCAACAATTTGCAGAATTGAGCCAAAATAACAAAATTTGACCTAAGGGCCGAGCCAAACAAAAATAATCAAAAATAAAAATCTGGACAAGTTTATAAAGTTTACATAAAATACTGTGATGGGTATTAAAGGTAAATTTTTTTTCGAATCCATACCAAGCCTAAAACTTTAGTCTCAGCTGCCGATTTCTTCATGGGTGATTACGTAACTCTATGCGTATCCTATGCCAATAAAATGAAAGATAAAGCAATTAATCTTGTAAAGAAAATTTGTTTTGATCAATAAATATAAGAGGCTAATGAATGACAAGATATAAGGAAATCTGATAAAAAATTAAATTTCAATGTAAAATAAATGCAGAATATTTAAAACATTCGATTATAAAATATGAGGTCGGATTGTTATCAGGCGATGACTGGAGAATAACCTTAGCGGGAAAAGGTCTTAAGGGGCCTTCAGATTTAAAAAATTTGGGGGCCATTAGGAAAGAAATATTTTAAAATTGGTATAAAATCTGAATTTGCATTAATACAAAATAAATTTAAAAAATTTTTTTAAATATAAAATTTAAATTTTCTGGTGAAATTATTGGCACTAATACTATTGAGGAAATATAAAAAAATTAGATTTAAAGGTTCAGACCTTAATTGTCGAAAAATAAAATGATTTCTTTGTTTTGATTGGTTCTAAAAATGGGGATCCAATTGAAATTATATAAGGATTAAATATTTTCGCATTATTATTGACTTAAAATTAATAGCCTCAACGTGCAATATTTATAGTGATAGTAAATAGTACATTATCATTTACAGTTGTATATAAATATTTAAATGGGAATGGATTGAAATAAAATTAATAAATTACACAAACAAAACAAAAATTCCTAAAATAATTATTTTAATTAAATATTTTTATTTTTTAAAAAATGATTTTTGTAATCATTTTAATTTTGCCACAAAAACAAATTTTGAACAAGACATTAATTTTAAGTTGAAAAAAAAATTACCCAGTCTAGCCAAAAAAAAACATTTTCCCTGCCCCTGATTTAAAATACTTATGTGGGATTCTTTTATCTTGCGCACTAAATATTATAAAATTCTAAATATTATAAAATTTCCTCTCTACTTTAAGGAATCATATAATCATATATTTTTAAATATAAAATATGACTTATGTGGTATTACCAAATTTAGAATTTAACTAAACTCATATAAAAATAGTTAATTTAAATTGAATCAATTTAATTTAGATTGATATGATAATTGGTAACTAATTTACCTTGTACAACCTATTATTTAACCCAATGTAAATTTTTTAAGGATTTTCTAGGGTAGCGTGGGGAACTTTAGGGCATCATTTACTTATTAATCCTCTTAACTTAAAATAGGATTTTTTCATTCAAACGTGACATCTATATGTTAATTGTGACCTAAATAATTAAATATAAAGAAATAAAAAATTAAATTATTGATATCTTACTAATAGCTAATTTTCAAAATAACATCTAAATTTTAAATTAAAAAATATATTTTTTTATATAATCATGTATGCACAATTTATAATTTTTTTAAAAAAAATGGAAAATACAAAGGTAAGACGAGCAGAAAAATTACATTATATCTTGTAAAGAAGTTACGATAGATGGTGAGATCCAATACAACTAATGTTGTCTTTTTTTATCTTCCTAATGTTCAAAAATATTTGATAATACAACTTTACCTGAGATTCCAGTTCATTCCAAAAAAAGTTCAATCTAAATCACTTTCTATAATATCAATCTGTACGTATTATAAATCATACCAATGATAAGTTTTGGATATTCGTAATATGATATCTGATTTTCTCATATAAACAAGCCTAAAATTTAAAGCCGGGTAAATTAATCATATATATTTAACGAAGATATAACATTTACAACTACATCAACATGAAACTCCGTTAGATTCTTCTTTACCTTCATGCAATGTTACGATTTCACTTTGATATCACTTCCTTTAAATCATAATAGTATTCTAATTTTATTCCCTAACTATCAAATTTATTGTGTATTAGGTTTCAAATTAATTAATTAATGCAAGGCCCCTCATGCCAGGCATACGCAGACATAGGCCCGTAAAGAGAGGTTTGGTGGGGGAAGACCACATAGGGCATTTTAGAAATGTCCCACTGGCCTTTAGCTTCCCAGTTCGCCTCTAATCGTTATAGTGTCGTGTCTGTAGCTTTACTTTAAAGGTAGGGGGGGGGGGTAGAGCTTTTCAATAAAAAATAGGAGTTAAATTATTAATATACAATATATAACCATTGTTTTGCAAATATGTTTTTTAAATTAAAATGATGTTAGAAAATCAAATTATACCCTTAAATCTTATTATTAACTTTATATAAATTATTGGTTATTAATAAGAAAATAGTTTTAAAAATTAAGGATTAATGTTCCAAACATGATATTTTGTTAGCGACATTAAAAAATAATCAAACCCAACAATTGTTATGTGATTTGAATTAAAAATAAATAACTCTTTTGACAACAATAATATATATATAATTCTAATTATCGGAAAGATATATAAAAAAAAAAAATTTTGAGCAAAATACAAACGACTTATTTTGATACATGTCTACGACTAACGGTGGTGTTAGATATTTATGTAAGTCTATCTTGGAGTCCTCAATTTTTACTAACGGCATAATGTTTTTGGTGTTGTTAAACGCGGTTAGTTTGTCCCTCGAAGCCGATGTTTTTATAAGGAAACCTTACAACGATATATTCATGATAGTGAACGAAATCTTTTACGGACTATTCCTGACGGAATTCCTCCTCAAAATATACGTCTTGCGACTCAAATATTGGAAAAGCTTTTATAACATTGTTGACTTTTGTATTCTTTGCGGTTTCGCCGTTCAAAATATGATCAACATTTTATATCCAATTCAGTTCGGGACAGTGGCTCAAATTTCTGCCTTTATTCGGATCCTCAAAACACTGAGAACTCTTAGGCTGATCACTTTGATTAAGGAACTGCAGGTATATCTTAAATGGTGTCTAATTGAATTTTGCCTATTAATTTTATCATGATGAATAAATACAATTTAAATAAAATAGTCGAGGCCTGGGGGCTTCTACAACCTCCAAGCCAATGTCTATTTTACTTCTCTTAAAAATTTTACCCAAGTGCCGGATCCCCCCCCCCTTCTACCCAATCAAAATTAGAAGAAAAAAAAATCCAAATTAGCATCAAAAAAGGAAAATCTAAATCAAAACTCCCTACCTTTAATGATGTTCATGTGTCATAACTATACCTACTCCCTCCGCCATTGCAATCTTGCGTTATACCCCCACCTCACCTCCACTGCGTAGTGGAAGTCCCTAGAATTTTGAATGACATTTTAATTTAGGAATTAAAGAAAAGCAGACTATTAAGAAGGAGGAATCAAAAAAATAGAGTGCCCTGCCTGACTTTCTGTAAGGATGGAACGTTAAGAAATATATTCCGAATTAAGAAACTTAAATCATGATCAGCTACCCCACAGACAATGTCCTAAAATGATATTATTACCAGAATATCGAACCGCGAAGAGTTAACCAAACCTTTTTTAAGGCATCCATAAATAGGGTTAAAGATGTAGATGTAGATTTTATTTTATAATATTAAATGATGAATTTTTGTTATCATCTTATCTCCTTTAGATTATATATATATATATATATATCTATAGGGAAAGCATTTCCATACATTTATTTTTAAATTAAATTATTTAACTTGCAAACTTGCAAAAATTTAGAATATAGGATTATTTTAACAATTTTTTTGCATGTTAAATAATTTTATTTTACAAATAAAAAAAATATATGATTATGTAATTTTGTAATTTTAAAATTATTATTGCAATTATTAGATTAGTTATGTAAATGCTATCTGTTACATGTTAGCTTAATTTGTTGTAATTCATTGTATATTTAAATACTTCTTAAATATTTCGCTTATTCAATTTGTTGTAATTGTATATTTAAATATGTTCATATTATCTTTTTATTCAATGAAATTAACATGTATATAAATACATCTCAAGGCGATTAAATATATATATATTGATATATATTTTCATTTTCTTAGCCACCACTTGCTTTTTTTTGTATAACCATATTATAAAATAAAAAGACATTACATCAACGTCAATATTCTAATAATATAATCAATAAAGACTATCATTTTTCATCGATTGAATTTAATAAAGTGTCTTTTTTCTGTCTCCTGTGCGACCATCCTAATAACCGTTCTAGATTAAATCCTCAAGCCTTCATTACTATCTGTCTACCCTATTATACTATATTACTGATAATTTATCCTTTAAAAAAAATTCCTTTACTTAATGTAATTATTGATTGTATACAAAAATAAAAATACATCCTATTTTTCCCAATTCTCTGTTAAAGAGGCATATACTATAAAAAACTACTAAAGATGACCAGCTGCTTAACTTGACATGACATTTCGTCCATGGTCATTGTCATTATAAAAAAAATGGTGGATATAAGATGATTCTCTTTTTCATCTCGCTTAAAATGCCACGATTGAAATGAAGAAACTTGGTAATACACTCTGCCAATTTTTCTAATTACTTCCATAAGATCAGGTGAAAATAAATCTTTTTTAAAAAAATGACGTATTCTGTTCTCGATATCGAAAAATATTATTTTCAGGTGACAAAATAATGACAGGACTATAAAACAACTGACATGTATGTGAAGTACTTGATCACATAGTATGTCTTTCCATATGATTTAGAAATATTGCAAATGAAATATAAAAGAATAAATTATAACAATATACCTTTATAAATTCATTTAATGGGATCCAACAAGTGTTAAAAAAAATTCTGATATTTTTGCATATTTGGAAAAGAAGATCAAAGTCAACTCAAGGTCTATCTATTAGTATCAATAGCCATGTCTGTCCAAGCTATACAAGTTGGATGGAAGAATTTTAGGGATTGAAATATATTCTATCACCAGAAGAGAGAACAAAATTGTAAAAAAAGGAAGAAGATATATCAGATGATATTCTAATTTATGTGGTTGTAAATCATACTTTTATATATATTTGTGTATATTTATCATAAAATATATTAAAAAAAAAAAATACTACACCTTTATGAACAAAAGCAGGGACCTTCAGGCCCGGCCTTATACCCGACTCGGGTTTGAAAATATAAAATCCCGGCCTGGCCGTGCAAATGGTACCACTGCAAGGTTGAAAGGTTACAGAACATGAACCGAACCAAAACCTTAATAAATTCTATTCTTTAACCAAAGTCACCTAAGACTTTATAATTTTTTTATCTCCCTGAATCGTATCAAACCTAGCCTAGATTTCAAAAGGTTCGACACTCTAATTATAAACTTAAAAAATTATTCTAACATTCAAAAGGTTCTGATGGATGCTTTGTTAGATTCTTTGGCAAAATTTGTGATCTACGTCATAATATTTATTTTTCTGGTCATATTTTTGTTCGCCTTACTTGGATACTACCTTTTTGGGCATATGGTTAATAAAGAAGGGTATTGGAAAAATTTATGGGAAGCGCTTCTGTCAATCCTAACTTATCTCACAGTTTGTAAAAATAAAAAATGATGATTTCTTACAGTATAATGATTATCAGTGAGTTAACATTCGAAAGCAAAATAATAAATGAAAATAAAAGAAAGAAGGAAAGAAGATAAGAAAGACAGAAAGAAAGAAAGAAAGAAAGAAAGAAAGAAAGAAAGAAAGAAAGAAAGAAAGAAAGAAAGAAAGAAAGAAAGAAAGAAAGAAAGAAAGAAAGAAAGAAAGAAAGAAAGAAAGAAAGAAAGAAAGAAAGAAAGAAAGAAAGAAAGAAAATCTATTTCAGGTAATATATTTTTTATGAATATCTAGGCTGAAGGTTGGACAGATATTCAATCAGAGTTGGACGCCACGTCTCCTGGTTTGGGAAGATTTTTTTCGGTTACGGCCTTGGTGGTGGGAAATTTTGTATTGATGAACATTTTCACCGGCATTATTGTGATGAACATCAGCGAAGCTCTGAGTTCTTTCAAAGTAAAATAATTTACGTTAACTAATTATAAAATAACATATAATATTTTATTAGATAAATCTTTTTTTTATTTCATATGAGCGCATAACTTGAAATATATATTAAAATTTCCTTCCATTTTTTCTACTTTCTTCGGATCTTCTATATTTCACTTCGACCAAAAGATCGGTTCTTTCTCAGGAAGGGAAACAAAACTTATTCCTCAAAAATAGTAGCAGTAAATTATATATGGTGTTTGGGGGCTGTTTGAAGATTCCATTCGGGAAAAATAAGATAAAAAACGTGGGTTCGGGAATATTAAACTTTATTTAGCGGAAATTTTGATAACACTTAATCGAAAACCGATTTTCTAAAAGAGGTCCGAACCCTCCCCTGACTCATATTACCCCGTGTTCGATGGGTTGCCCACGGTCTCATATTTTGTGTGTGGTCTCAAAATTCCCAACCAAACAATTTTAAATTTTTGGACCAGACCCCTGATAAAAAGGAACCTGATTTTATAACAGATAGAGATGCAATGAGCCACTTTTTTTTCAGCTCATACAATAATCAGTGAATATATTAAAATTAGGAGCAGAAAATAGTGGATTCCAATTGGTTTAGACAAATTTGTGAATGATTTTTAAAAAAAATAATCAGTAGCCTCTATTTTACGATGATATTTAATTATATCCGCCGCAAATTTCGCGCTAATTGTGAATGAGGGGTTATCCTGCTAAAGATAGCACGCACGAATTCGTGGCGAAGCTTACTAAATATGCTGTTATTATAGTATACTAATTCGCCCTGATTGTGAATTCAGGATTGGGCGGGTTTTATTCTGTAAAACGTGGATAGTGTTCTAAGTTATTTTTTTTAAATATAACCACCAATGAGAAATTTTATACACCAGCTGACTGTCATGGATTTGTTTTTCCTTATTGTGAGTAAACAAAATCTAGTGCAATTGTTCTGAGCAAAATTTTTAATAAAATATATATATTTTTTTGATCTTTTTTTTATTTAAAAAAAAATATATAAAAATGGATCCAAGGACGAAAAGGAAATTGTCAACGAAAAATTGAAGGCTAAGAAAAAGGAAATTTTATTTGCCAAGTACCAAAGGGAAATCACGAAAATTCAGAATACTTTGGTAAAATTTTACAAAAAAATATTTAAAATATATATATAAACTATTTTTTTGAAAAAAAACGGGTAATGTAATTATCAGAGGCAGCGTTGTTTAAGGACTCAATTCGAGCTGATTTTCACGGCCAACTCAATATTTTGTCCAGAAAAACTATTCCGCAAACCCAAAGATTTTGCTCATAGATAGGCACAAAGGTAATCTCGAGGCTTATAGCAATATTTTTCTGGCTAAAATATTGAGTTAGCCCGTAAGATCGGCTCAAAACGAGGCATTTAACAACACCAATTAGAGACCTACAGGTCAGGACTAAAGCCCGGCCCATGAAGGGCATGGCTAATATCAAATTTTTTTAAAAAAAATATATCCCAATATTAGATATTTTTGGTTTATAAAGTAGGTGTAGGATTGTGAAATTAATACCCATTGTTGTACCTTCTATACCGTATTGAAATTATCATTGTAGATTCAATATCGTAGCAATATTTTGGTATTGTAGAATCATTACCGTATTGATTTTTAAGAAATGTTTTCATCGCTTCATATATATTGACGGCCATTAAAATTGTAAAAAATTTATTCATTATATATATTTTTTTCATCGTTTTGGCGGCCATTTAAAATTGTAAAATATTTATTATTATTATATATTTTTTCATCGCTTCCTAAATTATATTTTAGAATTTTATTCGTAAAAGTTGAGATTCGGTCATACATTATCAATACGGTATTGATTTTACAATACGGTATTGATTTTACAATACGGTATTGATTTTACAATACGGTATTGATTTTACAATACGGTATTAATTTTACAATACGGTATTGATTTTACAATACGGTATTGATTTTACAATACGGTATTGATTTTACAATACGGTATTGATTTTACAATTGATTTTAGATGGTATTGATTTTACAATACTACATATATAAATTTTAAAAAAAATTTTATAGTCTATTTAAAAATTGTAATGATAAATCGCATTATTTCACTCGTTAGAAAATACTTAACTAAGTTTATAAAAAGAAAGGTAAAAATTTTTTTAAAAATTTATTATATCTCTAAATTTTTTTATTTTTTTAGTTAAATCACCAAATTTTAATTTGTCTACATATAGGGGAGACCAGGGCTAGTCGCGTCAAAATTGTCATAGCTCCGAAAGATAACGATCGCATAAGATCTTGCAAAAATACCTATTAAATTATTAAATTTTATACAAATTATTTAGAAAAAATGATTTTTAATTATATTCTCGTATATTTTTTACTGTACCAGATACATAGGCGCAGCCAGGATTTGCTGGTGGGGGGGGGGGTGTCTTATTAGTTGGGTTTTTTTCCAACCATAAATGTAATTTGTGGTCTTTAGGGTCCACGTATTGTAGGCCTATAAATTTTTATAAAGAGGTATATAAATAAATAAATATAATTACGAAATATTGGGTTTTGATATATATCAGAGACCTACAGACCCAGCCCTAAGTTTACCCGGGCCGGGCCTATAAATTTTTTTAAAAAGGATATCCGGGCCGGGCCGTATATTTTAAAAGCAAATATTTGAAATCGCCATTATTAGCTGTAAAAATCAAAAATATATAAAATATATTTTAAAAAAATCCGGGCCGGGCCTGAAAAATATTTTTTTTTAAAAACCCGAGCCGGGCCGGATAAATTTTTTGAAAAAAATTTGGGTCGGGCCGGGTTGTACAAATGGTACGTCTGCAGGTCTCCGATACATATGTTAGCGTCAATGTGTTATTTCTTTAACTTTAAATCATTTTTTTGACCGCATTTTTTTTAAAAATTTAAAAATCTGACCGGAAATGTGTTCCCCAATGTTTGGAATACCTACCCTCTGAATTTCAGACCATTTTTTTTTTACAAACTTTTAAACTTAATTTAGTTTATATTCCGTTTTCCATATATTTTTTATATAAATTATAAATGACAACAAAATTGTCTACATTTCATATGATACGTATTCCAAACATGATGGAATCCTTTTCCGGTAAAATCAGTTTTTGAATTTTGAAAAACGCGTTAAAATATGATTTAAAGTTGTAAAAATAATTTCATATGTTATATTTATTTATTTATTTATACCTCAATATCCATCCAAACCTTTTTTTATTACTTTCACAATATAATAAAACAATAAAAATGCATTAAAATCAAATAAAGAAATTTAAAAGTCCAACTTTTTTCTTATAGAAAATATATTTGAAAAATGTCCATAAATGTCCATAAATGTCAATTACAAATCGACAGATACTACAGTATACATTTTTGGGGGAAGAGGGGTGGGAATGGGATGATGTTTACGAATAGAGGCTAATTTCAGGGGAATTCCCTTCTCACTCTATCCTGCTATGTCTATCCCCCACTATGGCTACGTCTATGACCAAGTAAATAAAATACATTTCACCCAAAAAACTTTTTTCTTTGGTATTGAATAAAAAATAATCTTCAATAATTAAATTAAATTTTAAAAAAAAAATCAAAAAGGTAAAATGCCGAATTGGTAGATTATCTTTCTAAATGCCAGTCAAAAGTTTCACAAAAAAAAATACGGGCCTGGTCTGAAAATAGAAAAACCCGGGCCTGGCCGGAAAACCTTAAAAATTAATAATAAAGGCCATGCTAATTTTTTCTACAAATCCGGGCCGGAATTGATACTGTGCCGGTTTGTAATTTTATATATATTTGATAAACATTAGCCAACTTTCTAAATAGCAAAAAATTTTTTTTTTTAAATTTGCAACCTGGCCCCATATTTATTTAACCTTATCCAAACCTTGTCCAAGAGGTTGGGTTTAAAAGAAAAATAATACTGGCGTTCCTAGGGATCGAATCGGTAGTGCTGAGCCTCAGAATACCTAATCATATAGACACGCATTTTTATGAATATAAGGATAACTTATGATGCAAAAACATGCACTATATTGAATATTAAAAAAGATAGCTTAAATCCGTTTATATTTCTCATATACAGCGTCATCTTATTAGAAATAAAGAAAGAAAGGAAGGAAGGGGGAAAAGTGACACTTTTTACATTGAAGGTGATTTTAGCAGAATTCTGAGAGAAAAAACGATATATACTAACCACATATCAGTATAATTAGCAGAGATCAACAATGGCACCTATCCTGAGTTTTAGATTTTCTTCACTAGACCCGAGTTTCGTAAAAATAGTTCGATCCCAGAAATCTAACTAAACTGGCTGGTCTCATGATTTTCTCTAGTGTTTATTAATAGGAGTCAGAAGTGAAGTATAAAAGTAAACAAAAAAAAATAAACAATAATGACTTCATTTCTCCAGTAAAGGAATATATATTGAACAGGTCTAAATAATGAAACTATCATTTTTTAGGGTAACTCAGCCAGAAAAAGAATGAGGTAACCCCCGATAGAGGGCACACGTGAGATATTTACTGGCTAATTTTTAAAAAAAACCACCCCTCCTATTTTTTTCCGCTTCCACAACCAAACGAGGAAAAAAGGTACCCGTCAGGGTAAAGAGTAAAATGTCTATTTTTTAAAAAATTAAACATAAAATCATGAAATATTCATTTTTTTTTCTATAAAACCAGGACTTGAAACACGCTAATTTCCATGAAAGCTTAGCCGATTTCTACCAAAGCTTATCACACGATGACTATTTAACCATGACAGATACCTCGACCAGTTTGATGTGGATGGAAACATTAATTAAAACTCTAACTCATCAGGAAAACACAATTTGGAGGTTGGTTTTATTTTTTTTTAGGGTTTACCCTCCCCCCCCCATTCTACTCATAGTAAAATCAAAGAACAGAGGTTGTTCTAATCTTTACCCCGGGAAAATTATTTTCCAGAATTTTTCAGTGTTGCCTAGTCTTATGAAGATATTATGGGTTTTAGTTAACGACCGTTCCATCAACAGGAACAAGGGAAGAGTGATTGATCCTAAGTTTGAATTTTTACGGTTTAATGCTAGTGTTAGTATACTTGAGCTGTGCTCGCAAAATGTTAGGCATGCGCCATAGGCAGTTTTATAGATGGGATATAAGGAGGAAACGAAATCTTCCGTTTAGAAGTTTACTATAATAGAATTTCAAAAAAATTTTGACTTAAAATATAAAGACAGAGACCTGCAGAGGTACCATTTGCACGGTCCGGCCCGGGTTTTATATTTTAAAACCCGGCCCGGCTTTTTTTTTTTTTAAAAAATTTTCAGTCTCGGCCCGCATTTTTTTAAATTCATTTTTGATTTTATAGCTAATAATGCCGATTTCAAAGATTTGGTTTTATAATATACGACAGGCCCGGATTTATTTTTTTTAAAAAATTTTCAGGCCCGGTATGAAACATTGGTCTCGTTTTTGCTTTTATCGTTTAGGATGGGGTGTAGTAAACTAGGAAAAAATTGCTAAAAATTTAACAGCTGATCGTGAAATCACAAAATTTACAATCAAAATAAAAATGTGTATATCGTATATAAAAAAAAAGACAATATATAGTTTTAAAGTAATTGAAAACATTTGCACAGTAACATTAAAATAAGAAAAATTTAAACTTGAAAATTAAATTTAATCGCCTCTGTAACTATTTACACATCTTAACATCTCTCTCTCTCTGAGTAATTCTTTGCTATTCCAGTTTCTCTTGCTTCTGTCCTCTTCATCCTCATCATCTCAACGTCTCATCATACTTCTTTTTGTTCATCTCTTTGTTCGTCTCTTTGTTCGTTATCATTATCATTTAATGAATTATAGTGGAATAAGAATCAAATCGAATGGTATATAGAATGATAATTTATTTTTTATTTTTTAATGTGAATTTTTATTAATATTATTTTTATTTCTTATTTTTTAATATTTATTAAATCGCGTGTTGTTTATAATTTGTTTTTCCAAATAATTTTCGTATTCCTTGACAGCCATTACATAGTCTTTGAAATGACTAGGTAAACGTTTTGCTCTTACAGGTCTTTCATCTCTTTCCCCTCCAAAATTTCTTATCGGTTCGTTCACCGTTACTGTCTCGCGTGATCTCTTTTTTATTTGGTCTATATGTCTTCTTATTATTTTACAACCAGTGTCTATTCTATATAATAATTCACTCTCTTTTTCGATGACAATGCCTTTGTCCCATTTGTTTTGTATGAATGTTTTATACCATACGTTGTCTCCTACCATTATTATCCTGTTCATTGTTGTTATCTTTGTCATCATGGTTTCAATAGATCCCATTTAATAGTTTACTCGGTGCTATGCCTGTTGAGCTGTTCGGAGTATTACGATAATTAAATAAAAACCTTTCTAGAGCTGTGTCTAAATTGGTGTTTTCTCTTTCCATATTTCTCTTTATACTCATTTTGAAGGTACCCACCATCCTTTCCACCTGACCGCTGTTGGACTGCTTATGGTAAGCGGCGGTTAGGGTGTGTTTGATTCCATGATCTTTACAAAATTTATCTAACGAGTGACTCGTGAAGTTTGTACCGTTATCAGTTACTATTTCTTCCGGTATTCCAAAAATACTGATTGTTTTCATAAGTTCTTTTAAAGTGATGTCTGTTGTGATAGATTTGACTGGAGTTATTATTGGAAATTTGCTGTATGCATCTACTATTATTAACCAAAATTTTTGATAAAAAGGTCCCGTATAGTCTATGTGTATTCTTTCAAAGGGTTTAGAAGTAGTAACCCATGGATGTTGAATTGAATTGGAATTCGATGCCCAAATATTAAATGGTTCACAATTTTTTACTTCAAGATCGATACTCGTGTTCATACCTGGCCAATACATATAATCCTTGGCTGATGTTTTGGTCTTTCCAACACCTAAGTGTCTGATGTGTAATTCCTTCAACATAGTTTTTCTCATACCTGCAAGGAATCACAATTTTATTTTCTTTGAACAAACAATTATTTCTAATACTTAATTCATTTTCCATGTTTTTGTATGATTTGTTTTTTATACCATCACCTTTCCTTATGTAGTTAATAATATCCAATATTTCTTTGTCTTTATATGTTTCCTCTAATACTTTATTAAAATTAATCGGAATATCCCATAAGTCGTTTTTTGTGTTGTCCGTACTTATATTATCAATAGTTTCCTTACGAATATGAAATATATTTTTTAGTTTATATAAATATAAAAAATTACTTGTAAATTATATTTGCCTGCTCTATGAATTATTTTAAAATCATAAAC